GAACCTTCACAATCAAGACACTTTCAGAACTGAAGAACAAACAAATACTGTTCCACTCACATTGAGTTTATAACACAATTAAAACAAAATAACACCAATAACTTAAATAACGTCAATTGCTTCCCACTCTAAGGAAAATGCACACTGTAAACAACATACAGTTTACGCCACTAAAATATTAGTGAAGGGGAAATGCTGGAAAAATGCACATTGCAAACAACATACGGTTTACACCACAAAAATATTAGTAAAGGGTTTTCATTGACCTCAGAAAATTAAAAGAACATGCATTCCCTGTTATACTAGAACAGAAAAAAAATGCAAAGAAAGAACTACAAGGAATGAAGCAAAAAGATATATTAGATAGAGATCACTCTTCCCATTAAGAAAGAAAAGATGTGTCCTACATAAAAATTGCATTAGCACTAATAATACATATAAATTGCATTAGCACTAATAATCTCCCCAACAAGTAAATCAGTTTTTTTCCAGGAAAAAATATTAGCATTAAAATTCACATTGTATGCTCCTCTGATTCAAAGCCTACAGGTGAAGGAGGGTAGACGTGCACGCCCACTATTTACCATGTTTTGAAGCTCGAAACAGCATTTTTCTCCGTAATCAAAAAAATATTTTCCAGGTACAAGGTTTAAATAGGAAATATCATTAATAATCATGTAAGAGAATTACAACACAAGTTCATTTGAACAGACAAATTATACACTTGAGCTTTATGCAGGCATTGGTACTTAGCATTTGTTTTTATTAAGACGAAGACATCAGAATCTGAATACACTAAACAAAAAGATGTTCTACTAAGATCTGAATATAACTCCGCTTGTGTGAGCTCACTTACATTGATGATCCCAAGCCCCGATAAAGAAGGAGGGTTGACGAGGTTCAAGCAAAAACAACCTCTCTACACCATAAAGGTAGGGGTAAGGCTACATACATTTTACCCTCCTTAGATCCACTTGTGGGAATGAAATTATACAGGGTTTGTTACATTTTCTATTGTTGTATTAAGACTTGAACACTAAATAATTAAGATTGTTTATTTTACAAAAACATTTAAAAATAAGTTAATATAAAATTTAATAAAATACCAAATCAATCTAACGCTAAATCAATAAAATATTTTTAAAAAATCATAAGATGGTTGGTGGTAGTGCTGGCTAGCGGTGGTGGTTGTGGGTGTCAATTAAGGATGGTGTTGGCTACTGGAGGTGTTGAGGGTAAGAGCTAGTGGTGGCAGGAAGTGGTGGTTAATGGTGATAGTTGGTGACGGTGGATGATAGTGATAGCTAATGATGGTTGCGGATGATTATGTTGGCTGTCTTATATATAATGGTGGCGGATAGTGGTGATTGTCTAACAGTGATAGTAGTTGATTGTAGTAATTGGCAATCTGGTCGCAGTGGTGGTTGTGGGGGTGAGTGGTGGTAGTGGATAATGGTGAGCCAGTCCTATTGTCATTGAAACATGCATAATAAATAATCATTAACTATCCACCTCACAGGACACTGAGATGTGAACCCAGAATCATGATGAATGGTATTAAGACATTTGGCATTAGCAATACTAAAGAATACAATAGAGCATTGATTGCATTCTGAAAAAAGATACATAAAATACAATTGTGAAAGGAAGCTTGTAGAGACAAAGCATTGATTGCATTCTGAAAAAAGATATATAAAATACAATTATGTAAGGAAGCTTGTAGAGACAAATACTTACTCCCAAATGCTGATGATGAACTGCCAAAAGTTGGAGTAGTAGAAGCTCCAAATGCAGGTGAGGATGATGCACCAAAAACTGATGTAGACCCCAGAGGTGAAGAAGATTGGGGGGTTCCAAACACTCCAGTGGAAGTGCTACCAAAAAAGGAACCACCAGATTGAGAACCAAAAGGATTTGTACTGCCAAAAGGTTTGGGAGCAAATGGGTTATTACTTGTCTGCCCGAAAACTGATTGTGACCCAAATGGGCTAGAAGATGACTGCCCGAAAGCTGAAACAAACAGAAAACAGTCAGCAGTGAACATCCTCACTGTATAAGATAAGAGGGAAAATGAATACTAACAATTGCATCTTAGACGAGAAAATTTCAAAAAACACAACACAAGTCAAAAAGAAATAACATTGTTTCTATGAAATGAAGCAAATAAATGGAAAAATGAGAGGGTGCATAGAGGCGTCGCGGAAAAGAGCAGCTATTGAAAATAAGAATGGGCAAGTCCTTTCTTAATCCTTTATTTCTTGTTAGGAGTACCAGTTTTAAACTAAAATATGAGTAAAGCTACGAGTCATGAGACTATCTTCAATAGAAGTTGTGCGGGGGGGAGGTGGGGGGGGAATAGATTTCTCAAGTATAAAAAAGATGTCGAGACAGACAGCTGCAAGTACTTACCATTCGTGGACCCAAACATGGTTTAATAGTCAAATCTTTCCCAGCAGTTGTTGGAGGGTCCAAAGTTAAGCTGCAAAAAGGACAGAACGCGGAGATCATTCTCAATTGGTTGTTGAAGTAGAAATATACATCTAAAGCAAATTCAACGAAACGGAAGTAAAGGATATTGTTTCCACTTACATATAATGCCTCTATGAATGAAAGAAATCCAATACACTAGGTATATGTATTATACCGCGAAATGAATAAAACAAGGAAACAATAAGAAGATCCATTTTAAGATAGTAAACTTTAAAACATCATGTGAATCAATGTAAAAAACAGTGCTTAAATACAACACTGCCCCGAAGTACAATTCTGGACCTGATTTTTTTCCCGCAATTAAGGCAAAAAAGAACCTGAATATGTCAAATTATCTATACAAGAACGTTGTATACATTATGGTGGAATGTGGATAAGGTAAAGGAGAAACAGAATCAAAATCGGAATAAAAAACCTAACTAGCTTAAGGCTCTACCTAATATGCCAAGGGGAGGTGTTGATGACCAACTACTAAATGCTCGATTTAAATCTATAATCCCCAAAAATATCAATGAAAAGGTTGCAACAAACATGATATTCTTATTTAGGTTACTGTATGCTTATCATCCATTTGGCTACTCGTCATTTTAAAAAGTCCCTGGTTGAATGAAGTCACCAATAGCTTGATAATGGATGTACAGAAATTGATTTCCACATATATATATGCCTCAGCCATAAAAATATGGGGAAATTAATTAACATAATTGTATACAACTTATTCACTGATACAAATTGTATTCGTTAATACTATTGTATTTATTGATACACATACATACTAATTACATATATACAAACGCAGTCATTGATACATATACATTTACATATAAACAAATACTATCTGCCTCTCTCCTCTCTCGCTCAACATGTAGCTATGAATTGTATTCAGCAAACTAAAGTTATTGTTGCCTCATTATGTTTCAAATCTTTGGTGTTTTTGAAAGCTCCTCTAAAAATATCACATCAATTGATAAAGTAATGGAGAAACCGAATCGAAATCGAAATCGGAATCGTAAGAGCTAGGGTTAAAGGCGCTACCTGAGATGTACAGGGAAGGTGTTGCCGGCCGACGGACGACTAGTTGCTCGGTTTCGATCTGAAAGCAGCAAAAATATCACCTGAAAAGGTCGCCGGAAGCTTGCGTTTGTGCAACTTCGGCGGAGTTAAGAGTGTGTGTTTTGATCGGTAAAAGCCCTATCAAAAAGGTCTCCGTAACATACAAATAGGTAACGTAGCTTTTAAACAACGCTAATTATTGACGGTTCGGTTAATGGGCTCAGACCCGCCCGCCCGCCTAGCATAAAACTATTTGTATCCAAATAAGGATCCGAATACTGTCATAAATTAGGAATTCTAATTTTTTTATTTTTTTATTTGTGTTTTTTAAAACTTAAAAATGAATATTTAAAAGTATATTTCTTTTTATTTGAACACTATAAAATATCTAAAAATATTTAAAATAAGTCAATTCAAATATGCTCAAAATTAAGGAGAAAAATATGAATAGCCAATTTTATAATATCTATATGTCGAAAGAGAACTTATAACGAGATGTTGTCAAATTCAAATCCTATTGATTCAAGTTCTGATATTATCCCAAACATGCAGCTGCTAGAAAGTGTGAAACACACTGAATTTCTGCCCATTAATGGAGATTATGGCGAAGCATACAAATTTGAGAAAGTTAAAAACGGATATTTCATACTCCTTCCGTTTCATAAAGAATGACCTAGTTTGACTTGGCACAAAATTTAAGAAAATAAATAAGACTTTTGAATCTGTGATCCTAAATTAAAGTTATGTCAAATGTACAAAATTGCCCTTTAATCTTATGACTTTAAACATGCCACGTGGAAAGCTAAAATTAAAATGTTACCAAAAAAAGATAGAGGTCATTCTTTTTGAAACTGACTAAAAAGGAAAGAATGTTATTCTTTGTGAAACGGAGTATATGCGTACATAGAACTTTACACTTCAATTAGTGAGTGAAAATACTGCATGTTATTAACACCATTTTTCATGATCATTATCTAAATCTTTAACTCAAAACTACATTTTCTTTATCCTAAACATTTGGAATACTTTAACATGTTATCTAATTTATTTGACTTTCCTTTATAGTTTATTTTTTTTAGAAAAATATCCTCTCTTTTTTTCAATTCGTTAATTGGAACTTCCCACATAATAATTGTTTAAGATAACAACTTTAAAGAACATTTTAATATTATGAACATATTATTAATATAAAACCACAAATTCAAGATCCTTATTTATTATTTTAAAAAAATTCGTGTGAGATCAAAATAAAACAAATCAACTGAGAAGTAACTCAGTCTTCAAGATATTGTTCTTTCCTCTTCTCTACGATACGTACTCCTACGAAAATTATAACCAACCTACACAAATTCAGGATAATTGCATCATTTTGTTCAATGACATAAAATATTAAGCGGATTTAGACAATTCACAGTTGATTAAACTAAACAAGGTTAAACCCTAAACAAGACTTGAAATTTATGAAGGCAACATAAGCACCATCATAATGTACATTTCTGAATATAAGGAAAAAGCATTGTTCCACTGTTTCTAATTCCATTAAATAGAGAGAAATGACATTTGAGTAGAGGCTAGTCCTCATTGCGTAAATATGGCTAGAAATTCACACAGATACACACGTCTCAACCAACACACGATTGTAAAAATACTCCTCGAATGTAAAGCAAACTTACATTCTTTAGCTTGCCACATCTTTGACATCGAGGGTATTTAAAAAAGAAAAGGAGTTATATACATTATCAGCACGATTGTTCTGCACGTATCTTGTGAACTCTATCAACGCTCAGACAGCACTTGTTTGTCTCCACATTGGAATGTAAGAAGCCAAATGACGCTTTGTTGAAAAACTTGATAAACCCTCCCTGTATGCTTATCTTTGCCTAAATTCAGTTAATTGCAGCACAGGCTAGTCCTCATTAGCATGCTAGCCTGTATCCTGGAAACACAACTCAGGAAGAAGATGAATTGTGTTGTCACCAGCAAAATTTCAAAAATCACATATAGAAGTCCAGACATCGTAAAATCATCTTTGATTAGGAGGGAGTTGGCTGATCACAACATCTTAGATCTTCCAAGTTTTAAAAGTTCGACTGGTAGTTCAAAATTTCACCCATGAACATCCTAGATTCTGCAAAATATTCTCAGCACCAATGATGCAAGCAAGAACTGAGACCCCCATTTACTGCACAAACACCAAGTAACATATGAGAGAAGTCCTATAGTACAGACCATGCACTATGTATAACACAGTAGATATACCTCAAATAGAGCCTTCCTCCAATCTCATACACCATTACTCTCCAAAGCCATAATTAAGACTTGGTATTACATTATATGCTTGATCAGGTCTCAATTCAATAATTGAACCCACCTGCAAAGAAGGCAGGAAGAAAAAATGTTTCAGTTTGACATCTAAATGACAATGACCATTTTACTACATTCACAGGAGTACAATAGCATTGATATCTATTAAGTTACGAAATGCCAGACAACTTCAGAAAATCTGTTTCTTTTTTTATCTGATTTTGTTATCTGCCCAAGAAACTGCTTATATAAGTTTGTAGATTACTTACATATTACAGCATTATTAAAAATCCCAGCACGCTCTAGACAACATGAGCCAGGTTCTTCCCTAATCCCACACCAGCAACTGATTCATCCTTACAATTACCGCTTGTATTCATAGTCTTACTAAGACATCTGCACCTAAGACAAATGAACTTGGCAGGAACAGCATCCAAGTCGGGGATACCGGCACATCTGGTGTGCTGCCAAACACTGCATACATCACAAGCTAACATCCTCTCTCCGTCATCATCCTTTGCTCCACAGAAGCAATCTACAGTCCATCTCTCCATTCCTCTTTCCATTCTATACTTACTCAGCCCATTTTTCCCCAAGAATTTTCCTCTGACTGTAACAAATTCAGCAGATCCTAGAAGGAGTTTGACCTGAGTAGATTCATTCACACCACCATATCCAACTAGCTCATCAGCTTGGAATCTTCTGAACATCAAGTATACATCTTGAAATGTCCTTGATGCCTCTGCCTTCAAGTCAGAAATGGTAGCATCCGAGGGGAGAATCAATAATTCCGGAGGAGGGTTTCTGGAATGTACATCAGATTGTTCCATGATGTCCACCTCACATAGTACTTGGATTGCATCTGATTTTGGGATAGGCAAGAATCTTTCAGGCTGATATACCTTCAAAAATTGCTTGCAATCAAGAACGGTAGTAGCAGAGTCAACTGCCACTACCCTTTTGATTAAGGGAACATGATTAGACATTGTCGATGGGTTTAGCATGCAATCGTACAAGTACTTCAGATCTCGACGCAGATGTTCCTCAGATGGGAGGTTCGGAGTACAAGGCAATCCATTCTCTTTTGTATTCACATTAACCATTGAGTTGCAACGCTCAATTCTGCATTAAGTCAGAGAAAAATCAGTGAGAAAGCAAAAAAACTATAATGCACACAGTGTGACTTATACAAAATTGTAAATATTGAGTTCTCAAAGAAGAATGGATTTACTGACTTATACTCCATAGCACCAGAACCAGAAACGCTGCGGGAATTGACAACCAGTCCGTCAGCTGCCTGCTTTCCATGGAGTGCCTTTAGGCAATAATCAAGGAGTTCAGGAGGACCCGCTTTACACACAGCACCTCTAAGAGCACGCCAGCTCACCCAATTGGGCCCAGAGACAGCCCGTAGTACTCTAAACATTGCTTCTTCAACACGTAAAATGTCAGTACTGGTCCATGCACATAAGACCTTGGAGTTGCAAGTTTTACGCTTCTTACAGGTGACCTCATCAGCTCCTGAGCCAGGTTTATGGGCATCACGGATTGAACTAGTTAAGAAAAGAAAAAGGTCTCTAATATTTACAAGTTCACTATCTGACAAGGACTGATAAAATGAAATCAAGTCCTGCAGACGAGTGCGAGGCTTCCGTCCTTGAGATAGAAAGATGGTCAAGGGCAGAGAAGAAAGGTTCTCTACAGCTTGTCTATAAGAATCTTGAGTCAGAGCAAAACTACCAGCGCCAAACTGATAATCCCATTTACCATACCATGGGTGACCTTTTGTGATGGCATGCATTAGGCGTAATTCCAAACCATACTTCTTTGAAACATCCATCACGCTGATTTTTCTGATCATACAGAAATACACGACTAAATCATCAAATATAGCTCATTGGAGAACCAAACTATAGAATATTGCCTTCAGTACTTGGGGTAACATGTCAAATTTTATTATTCCAACGACATAACATCTAATACAAATTATGCTTACCTTGCTCCAAGGACTTTACAGAGCCTATCCCAGAAATTCATTATATGACTTCCAGAAAGCACCCTGGATCCACCTTCTCTACCGTTTACCCTGAGAAGATGTCCATAGCCATTGGCATGAATCACACCATGCAGAAGATGACTGGTATCCTCTAACTGATGATACATCCAATCTTCAACATCTTCTGTGGTCATGACATGATTGCATGACTTGCACCTGACAAAACAAATTAACGTATTTAGCCCCACATTTTTCAATAAAACAAAGATCAAGATACACAATAAAAAAGTTCACATCCATTGGCAAGAGGATTTAAAGCAACCTTGAAGCTGCAGACCAGATCCACAAATCTATCTCAATTATCTAACATGTTTCCTAAATGACTAAATCATATTACAAAATTCAATGGAAACACATTAAGGACGGTAAAGAGGGAACATTTAATATATGAATACCATGACATATGAAGCAACACCAAAAAGGAAAAAGAACAATTTCAACTTAAAAAAGAAAACTCAAAGGTAAAGTATATAAATTCTTACCTAGCCTCGGATAAGTGAAGGGCTTCACCACACCCAGCACAGGATTTGTTATAACCCCCAACTGAGTTTCCATCAGCCTTAATAATAAAATGGAAACGCTTTGCACAAACTGGATTACTGCTCCAACCTATAAAAACCAACAAGTATAAGAGAAGAACACAATTCAACCCAATATTTCAATTCTTCAATTTACTTCCAAACTACAAAAGATATTTATTATCAAATATATGTCAACTTCATCTATAAAAATGGTAATGTACTTCTATATTGGTGATTACTCTGTAAAAATTTATAATTAGATTAATGACTAGTTCTCGAAAAATAAGCTATCTCAATCCTCTAACATACCTCAACTTCATCTCAACCTCGTACCCCCCATCCCAACCACCCACAGCTCCCATCAATAGTTATCCAAATTATATACAAATGCTTTAGAATAATATTTTTTGCTTAGATACGCAAGAAAAAAGCTTAATTTTTTCCCATACTACAATTTTCACAAACGTCGTCATCATGCCACATCATCATACAATTGCTTAAGTCAAGGCAATTTGGTCAAAGACAAAATAAAAGAACGTGCCTAACAAGTAGAATGAGGCTCACATCCTACAAAAATTACGTAATTGTCCGCTATACAAGTGACACTTACAAGTCGTTTTCATTCCCTTCATCCAGGAAGGTTATATCTGTAAATTCAACAGAAAAGACTTTGGGAACTGACTGTAGCAATTATCAATTATCATCAACTCAGAAGGACCCACACTTAATTGGACCCCACGTTTTTAATTAATTAATATTTTTTACTTGTTAATTAAGAAAAGGATCAATGTGAGCTGGCGCTGTTTTAGCTCAGTTTTTAGTAGATTTTATTTTTTCTAATAGAAAGTCTGAGTGACAACTGGACGGTTCTGATTTCATGAGATCGACGGTTCAGATTTATCGAGTCCATCGAACGTAACGGAAGTCCGGCGAACACCTCCAAAATTAGTATGAACAGATTTAATTTATCGGTGGGAAAACTCACCAACGACTCGGCACTGGTCGCAATAAACGGATCTACATCTGGCGACGTCTTCTTCGATAACATCGAGGCAGACAACAGACGGAGAAGAGTCGCCGTTGCCGTTACCGTCGCCGTCAGTGAGGTCTCCGACGCGGAAGAGGATCTGCCACGTCAGAAGGTGAGGAAACAACGAAGAAGGCGGCGGCAAAAGCGCATGTTTCGATAAAAACTCCTTCACCGTCGTCCTGAACGGTCCCGTACCGGCGGTATTACCGTCGTCGGGAAAGGTAAGGAAATCGTTGAGGTCTGCCGTTACTCTCCTCTTCAACCTCTTCATCGGCCTACCATTCACTACCATACCTCCTTTAAACTGATCTCGGCGCGTATCACCCAGATCTCGGCGCGTGAGGTCGGAAATCTCAATCCTCGTCACAGATCTGAACCGAATACTCCCAGATCGGACGTCTACTATGTTATCAATAAACAAAATTCCATAGAGAAGCGAAGAGAGATACAGAGACGATGAGGGAAAGAGGAGTTGTATTTTTGTTGAGAGAGAAAGAGGAAAAGAAGAAGAGGAGAGGAGGGAAAAAGTCTTGAAGAACGTCTGTTTCGGAGTGAGAAATTAGGGTTTGGTAAAATTTTTGGGGCTTTTCTGTACTTTTATATTATTTTATTTTCTCCAAATTCTTTTATATATAGAGAAAAAATAATAATTTTAAAGTCGGTTTAGCAAAGTTAAAGGGATTAAGGAATACGGATGGATAAAAGTGAAATAATAAATATCTTTAATTACTATAAATAAGATTAAGTATTATGAATTGACTGAAATACCCTTGAAGGGTAATTGGAGGTTTTTGGGGCTTTTCTGTACTTTTATATTATTTTATTTTCTCCAAATTCTTTTATATATAGAGAAAAAATAATAATTTTAAAGTCGGTTTAGCAAAGTTAAAGGGATTAAGGAATACGGATGGATAAAAGTGAAATAATAAATATCTTTAATTACTATAAATAAGATTAAGTATTATGAATTGACTGAAATACCCTTGAAGGGTAATTGGAGGTTTTTGGGGCTTTTCTGTACTTTTATATTATTTTATTTTCTCCAAATTCTTTTATATATAGAGAAAAAATAATAATTTTAAAGTCGGTTTAGCAAAGTTAAAGGGATTAAGGAATACGGATGGATAAAAGTGAAATAATAAATATCTTTAATTACTATAAATAAGATTAAGTATTATGAATTGACTGAAATACCCTTGAAGAGTAATTGGAGGGACATTTGAGGAAGGTTCAAGAACGTTGGTAGTTGGGAAAATCGTAATTAAATTGTCTTTTGATGGTGATATTTTTTAATAAATACTAGGTGTTTTTTTCTTGTTAAGGAAGATAGAGATCGATATTAAATGACAGGTATGCCCTTGGAATTTGAATGGTGAATGAATGTGTGAAATTTTGGTGGGGGTTATATACCGTCGATACGGTAGATATCAAATTAAAAAAAATTAATATTGTGATTTTGATATCATGAAAAATTACTTAGATGTTCCTTTTAAAATCATCTTTTATCCAATATCGAAAATATGTATAAATATATATTGGTTTTTTGATAAAATTTTTAGTTAAATTGTGTGAGTCTGCGAGATAAGTTACGATTTTTTATTTATTCAAATAAACTTTAGACATATTTAAATATTATTTTATTTATTTATGAAAAAATTACTTAATTAGACAATTTTTCTTACCATATTATTAAAATTTTACTATATTTTAAAATAATTACATAATCTCTCGTTCTTTCTCTCCCTCTTTCCCTATGACTCCCTTTTTTTTTGGCTATGTAATTGGTACCAAAAAGTCACAAAAGGACACCTAATTAAGGTATAATTATATCTTCATTATTTTTTAAAGTATACAATTATACATAAATATATTGAATACATCACAAATTTAATATAAAAAAATATATATTTATGTATATACACATTATATACATTTTACATTAAATATATCAATACCTTCTCGAAACTATGTATATATTATATCTAGAACTCAAACAAAATATATAATTATCGAAACTATCAATATACAATTTTTTTTTTTTATATATAATAATATATTAACTCAATTCATTTTGATCAATTCAAATTCACGTCAAACTGTTCATTTGCCGCCTATACAACCCGTCCTAGCAAGTAGGAAGCATCACCTAAACAACACATTTTGAGCGCACCTTGTTTTTGCCAATTCGCTGTCACGAGCCTATCACGTGCTGCAAAACGCCTACACATACTTTAAACAATTTTCCCAATTCTTCTAATCTCCGTCTATTCTACCTCTGCAAATTCTTCACCATTTCTGTTGGAGGGCACAAATGTCTCAGTCCCTCGCTTCCCCTTTGATTCGCAGCATTGGATCCACTTCAGTCGGGAACTCACTGTTGCCGAATCATCGGCCACCGTTTACATTACCGGTCATTCCTCACCGGCAACTCCTGCTTCCAAATTTACAGTTATCCGTCAGTAAATTGAGGAGTTTTGAAGCTCATGCATTTGATCTCAAAGGTAGCCAAGGGTATGTATGTATATATCTCTTACTCCATCAGTCCCAATTTATCTAATAATGTTTGACTAGGCATGGAGTTTAAGAATTAAAAAGAAAGACCTTTGAAATTTGTGATCTTAATTAACCTATATATATGTGTATGTATGTATATATTGTATGGTTATAAATCATCTAATGAAATGGAAAATTTAAAGTCTAAAATGTTATTAAATATAGAAATGTGATAGGGTAAAGTGAGAAGTTTGAAGTCAAATTGTTACTGAATGTAGAAAGGTGTCTCAGGTGATCTTGTAAAATGGCAAGTTTGAAGTCAAATTGCTACTGAATATAGAAAGGTGTCTCAAGGTGATCTTGTTAAGTGGCAACTTTGAAGTCAAATTGTTAGTGAATGTAGAAAGGTGTCTGGGTGATCTCGTAAAATGGCAAGTTTGAAGTCAAATTTTTTACTGAATATAGAAAGGTGTCTTAGTGTGATCTCGTAAAATGGGAAGCTTGAAATCAAATTGTTACTGTATATAGAAAGGTGTCTCGGGTAGCAACTTATAGTTCCATTCAAATTCATCTGATGTGACAAAACATAGTCCCGATCATGCTTTGGATGAAGGATGGGGGTTGTCTAGGTTGATGATTAGGTGTAAATCAGTCTAATTATGATCAAATTCTCTGAATATTGGATTCATTGGCATGTGTCCACTTGACTTTGACTGAATAGGCAGAGCACTTATGTAGTTGGTTTTAACTAGTTTGAGCTTTAGATATAGTTGATTGATTGGTTTTACTGTAGCTTCTGTTAGGTTTGAACTTGATTAGAACCTATGTTTTCTCCATCTTAATGAAGGGTTTGTGCATTTTCAATTTCTACAATTGAGGGCAAATGATTGATTCAATTTAATGTATTTTTGCTTTCAGATTTCTGGAAAAAGTTTATTTTGGGAAGAAAAATGGAAAATCTTTGATTCTTGTTGTGTCGAGTGTTATATAGGATTCACCTTTCTTGTAGTTTCATTTTAAGTTTCAGCAAAAATTGATGTTTTTAGTTTGCTCATTGACATAGGCTATTTTTTCCTATTTACATGAGCTTACCTTTTGCTCTTGCTTTGCAGAATGGCTGAGTTCCATGAAGTTGAACTCAAAGTCCGGGACTATGAATTGGATCAGTATGGTGTTGTAAACAATGCTACTTATGCAAGTTATTGCCAACATGGTAAGGTTTATGGTTTTGATCTGTACTTCAGTTTACAACTACCATATTATAGTGCTTTCATTCATAAAAAAAACTGCGCTTTTCCCTTTTGATGAAAAAAGATTTATTCAAGGGAGAAAAATTTTCTGGCAACTGTTACGAGTAGAAAACTAGAAATTACTGAAAAAGGATCTTCTGTATCTGTTCTATTTTACTTCTTTGTGACCCTATAGTTAGATCATCTGTTACCCTTGTTCACGGAATGTGTTTTCTCTCTCAATAACTTGAGATGATGTCATCCAAAATTTGGATAATGAATAGGATTTCCTTTGCTCTGCTTATTACTAGAACATATTGAATACCAAATTTGAAGGGAACTTATGTGGTCAATGACTGTTTGAATCTTGCGTTTACACATACTAAAGATAAAGCCAATATCCAATTTGTATGTGAACATAATTGATTGCCAAATAGTTGTTCTGCCAGAACTTTGCTCAGTTAGTAGCTCTCTTTCCGAATTAGAGATAATTTTAAGTTAATAATATGTCTATCCTTATCAAAAAAGAAGTTAATAATATGTCTATTCAAATGTTGTTAAGTAATTGTCATGGATCATTACCTGAATACCCGTGATACTGAACCAAGGATAATACAAATTCAAGTTTTTCCAATGTAATAAGGCCTGTTACGTTGTGCGTGACCTATGTATACAAATTGAGTTTCTTAATAATCAATATAAATTTCTGTTTAAAATTCTGTAAATTTATATCAGATCTTTCTAGCTCCTCCACTATTATTGATTACATCCTTGCTTTGTTCCACTAACCCTTTTCCTTCTCATGGGAAAAAAGAAATAGGAAAAAGGGAAAGCAGGAACTTAAATTTTAATTGAAGGGTACTGACAAGATCATTACTTTAAATGACTTAAAGCATTTGGCCAGCCAAAAATGAGAAAATTGAAAAATATTTTCCTTTCATACCAAACACCCAAGTAGTTATCAATATGAAGTTATTCTGGGATTGTTGCCCTAATCTCCTTCTGTAGAAGGACCTACCTCATTGTCTATTACATAATACTGGATATGATAGTCCATATCAAAGACTTTCAAATGATAATATATAACTTATCTTGTTCGTTATGACTTATTTTCAATAAATGAAACAGGTCGTCATGAGCTTCTAGAAAGGATTGGTATAAGTGCTGATGAAGTGGCACGCAGTGGTGATGCACTAGCACTAACAGAGCTGTCACTTAAGTATCTAGCACCTCTAAGGGTATGACCTCATCTAAACATCATTAAGAACCAATTAATATGCAACCAGAAACTTTAGACCTTGGTTAAATGTCCTATTCAATTTAAATTTCGTGGCACAAAACTTTGCTTTTGAATATGAATTATAGATCTTTGGAACATATTGAAATGAAGAAGGCTTAAAATGTTCAATTTCAAGTGTGAGAAGTTTGGATAAGCATAGTTAGAAGGTTAAGGTCAATGGATGATGGGTCGGCAAATGAAGCTTTTTACAGCTGATTATAATGTGACACTCCCTTCTTTCCAAATTACTTGGGACAATGTCTTTGTTTATCTCTAATTACTTGACCTTTCTCTTGAGTAAGAAACTTTTACTTTACCATGAATTGGAGTCAGTACAAACAAATAGGTATTAGTTTACACTCTGTTAATCGTTATTTGGCATGCTTTCAATTGATTATTCTACAATTTAAATTGAACTATTATGTTAGATATTTATCATCTGTCTCTAAGTTGACAATTTATTCAAACGAACCTTGTGTTCTGTACTATCAGACTCAGTCATTTACGTGGGGACGTGAGCTTCTTTTTTCTGAACCATTTTTGGTTGCCTGAGGGAGAATTTCTGTTGCTAAGTGATGCACAAATATTATTCATTAGACTAAGAAATTGTGCTTCCAGCTTACTTGATCAAATATCTGTGAACTCCTCTTTGTCATGTTGCATTAATTCCCAAGAGCCTTACACTTCTAACTTGCCTGAGGCGGCCTTGATTATCAAATATCTCAAAAGGCATAAAATACGACGTGTATTGAAAAGACTTCTGCAGCCAACAACTGCTTCTAGTATTTTTTTGAAACACACCATTGAACATTTGCAGCTGCGTACTTGGTGTTGCTACTCCAATTTATTTGACTTGCCTTTCTACTGGTCCCATTGGTTATCTTGACCTGGTATGATATTCTTTCGTCGAATTCAAATATTTTCTACCCTCACTCCAAATGTTACCACATAAGAATGATAAAGAATTGAGGATCGGAGGGGAGTGCTTTTGACATTTGGCATAGTGGTACTACATCTCAGTATTTACCTCGTCATGGACTGGAATTCTATCTGATCAGGAATTTTATCCTGTTAATGGTTCATGTATTTGTTAGTGTTGTCAACTGAATATAGTTTTTCAGATTAAAAATATTACCTTAGTAAACAGAACTGCTTGATCTCTTATAACTACAAACGTGAACAGAACTGCTTGAAATTTGTGTTATCCTGCCTGTTCTCATTGCTTTCATCATTGGTTCAGAGTGGAGATAGATTCGTCGTGAAAGCACGAATATCTGATTCTTCAGCTGCTCGGTTGTTTTTCGAACACTTCATCTTCAAGCTTCCAGATCAAGAGGTCAGTTACCACTATTACCGCCGGTTTTTTTTTGGGGAGCAAAACCACTTGCATATCTTAATGTATTCTGTTACTACTTTTTTCCAGCCCATCTTAGAGGCAAGAGGAATAGCAGTGTGGCTTAATAAAAGTTACCGTCCTGTCCGAATTCCATCAGAGTTCAGAGCAAAATTTGTTCAGTTCCTTCGCCAGGAGGCATCTAACTAATGTGCTCGTCAACAAAATCCAGAAGAGTTATTTTGATCAAAACATTTTCCTCTGAAGTGAAAATTTGGTCTATTTAGATACTGACCCAAAAGATCTAGCAATGTATGTATTTTGCTTGGTTAATAACACTCTTGCTCCCTCAATTCTTAATAATGTTAAATTTAGTCCTCGTCTCTCTACCTTCACAAGGTAAGGGGTAAAGTTGGGTACACAATGCCCTCCTCATACCCCGCTTGTGGAATTACACTGGGTATGTTGTTGTAGTTTCTGAATTTAGTCCTTGTAATATCTAACCACATTTTTCTTCGATTAATTGAAATGTGTACTTTTAATCCCTTTACTTGTGAGTATTTACGAATTTACAATGATTATCAATTGCTCACCATTTAATTATTTACGTGTTATGTTAAGTTTGCATTGTTGCTCTAATTGCATAGTGTGAAAAATAATCCAAGTATAACACAGGACTGGCATAATTTGGTCAGCTGGCCAATTTTTATTGTGAATTAAACTACTTTGACTTATACAAATGGAAAAAGATCGATCATGAAGTTCTCTATACCAATTTAGCTCTTCCAAAATTTAATGTTAAAAGTCAAGAATTATCCCTTTTTTGGCTAACAAATTATTCTAGTCTAATTGTTCTTACTCAACCAAAGTTCAAAGTAATATATAAGGCTGAATAGATCAAAATTCTTCTAAACTTGGTGAATTTTATTTGGTACATATCTTAGTAATTTGATAGTTTTGACCTGTTAGATGTGGCAAAGAACATGAACACCTTTTTTTAGGCACATACCAAAGAGTCCACAAGATGCAATAACGGTATAAAACTCGAGAAACTATGATAATTTAAGGAAAGTTTTAACTTATTCCCTCATATTCTTTCTTATTTTTTGGAACGTAATGTTCACATAACTTGTTATATTATTTCAAGTTTTTCTAATATGAATTCATAATAATTTAAAAAATTATGTATATACTTAATAATTCAAATACAAAATTCACGTTTTCTTTAATTCATATATATAAACTAGAGATAGAACCGTGTCAAGGAAAAATTCAACTATCCACAAGCGATAAGTCTAACCATCTGCTGAGTCATAAATGACTTTATAATTTCTCATTATACCAAAGAATCTCTTGAATATCCATATTCTTCATGTTTTATTCTTCACCAATTATGATCCTCCACGTCAATTACAACTAACCAAAAGTCTTATTTTATCTCTTAACCACCATCTTGTCCTTGTAGGATAAGGAAAGTCGATCCAGTGCACAAAGTATTTCCGCGTTAGTATGATTTAGAAAAGGATGATATTATTAATAGATCCGTGATAGTATGGTTTAGGAAAATATAGCACAAAGACAATTTTATCGATAAAAATTGGGATTGTCACAATTCTCCATTATATATACCTCCCATTCCTTTCATTTTCCAAACCAATTTCTATTCTAGTTTTCTTTCAAGCATTTTATCAAACAGTTTCTCTACACCTTTAAAGATTCATAACTATGATCAGCAATTTTGAATCTGATGTTAAATATCTACAGAACCCATCTTTGATTTCTCAATTCTTTTCTCTTCCGAATATCGAAAATGTTCCTGAAGTTTACAGTTTCTGGAAATGGGGTGCTCTGTTTTTCGCCATATTTGTTACATTTAGTACTTTATTTGGAAGAATTAAGTTTACATTCATTTACTTACGTAGAATTGAGCCTTCTGATGAGCCTATTCTTCAGTATCTTAGCGAAGACTTCGACTTTTCTGATGATGACGACGACGATGAATGCTCGTCCGTGTCTTCGAATGATGAAGAGGTATTTACACCCAGAGGTGATCGAGATTTTTCTGTGGCGGGTGGGAAAAAGAGTATTTTAAGACTTATAAGGCGACGGAGCAGCTATGGACTGTTTCCGTTAACTGAATTTGTTGCCGGAAAAAATGTTGTAAAGCTCTGGGATTTGAATATTGAAGAAAAGATGAGTGAATTTCGGACGTTGCCATCGCCGTCGCCGGTGATGGTGTTTTGGTCCGAATTGAGAGATGAGAAAAACGGCGTTGTTTTAGCTGGTTACGACGCGAGAATGAGGCGTCAGTCGCCGGCGATATTTGCCGATTGGGGTACAGGAAAAGTGGTGGGTATCGGCGGTGTTGAGAAAGTGTACGTTAGAGATGAAGTCGCCGGAGTTGTAAAGCTCGGTGATATGAGGAAAGCGAAAACGCCGGTGGAAATGGTGACGGAGGTCGACGGTGGCATGTGGTGGAACGCCGGCGCCGTTATCGTTGACGATGACTTCGTTAGACATAAATTTATTTACTAAAGGGAATTGATGCTAATTTATTTGGCTATTAATTTAACGATGAAATTTGTAATTAATTTTAATATTCTTTTTATAGCTAACTAAATTAGCTTATCATTAAAAAAATTGTATGATAATTTTGACGGAAGAAAATCCTTCCTTCTAGTCTGTACATTTATTATTTCGTAGTATCAAAATTAGATGAAATTTCATATGTAAATATTTTAATGTCTTTCTACATAAATTAGTGTTATAAATTTATTGATCATTATCGATTAAGTTATTAAGAGAAAATTTCAAATCGTTAAAAATTGATAACTCGATATAAAAAATTGTTATTGAAACCGCTAAACCAATAACTATTACCAATAAGGCAATACATCAACAATTTTTAATTCAAATTATTGATTACGGTTCAATTTTGAATAACTCTACTACTACCTACCATTTTATTGATTAGATTCTAACAATTCTATCAAGATTTTATTTTGAATTAATTAGTACTTAATATTTTTAAATCTAATTCATATTATAATTGAAGGAATATTTCAATGAGCGAGTTGTGACTTATTGCTCAACTATCTTGGATGGCATGAAAAAGATAAAAACACATTATTTAATTGGAATGTTTCCTACTTCTAAAAAAATGTTAATCAACACATGCTGAATAGTAGTTTATATAAGATACTATTTTTTTGTATTTAAATGATAGATGAAAAATAAGGTTGAGCGGTTGAAATGAAATAAGGTTGAGATTGAGTGTCAAAAAATGAAAATGAAAAGCAAATTAGAGGGATTGCCTATTGTATTTGACTAGGGGCGGATCTATGTACAAGTCTTAGGGTGCCACGACATCTAGACATCTCGATTGAAAATATGTATATTTGTTTAAGAATGTGTATGCATACATATATATATAAAGTCTGCCACGTCAGTAATAAGTAACTGTATAATGTCAATGATGAAGACTCAAATTTCGAAATATTTAAGGGAGGTTTATTGTTTTAAAAAAATTGTGGTTTAATAGAATTGAACATAACATCTCTCCTAACTAAAGACTCGCTCAAACCAACAAGTCAAAACTCTCGCTATGATGTAGGCAATATAAAACCTATTCATCTTATCTTTTGTAAATATTGAAACCACACAACTATTCATAGGGTATGGTACTCGAAACTTTCAAATTCTAGATTCGCCTATGTTGACTTATTAAAAAAGGACCGTCCGATATACTAAATTTTCACTATGTGCAAGATTTGGAAAAGAGCTATACTATAGAGGCGTATTGTACGCAATCTTATCCTGCATTTCTACAAGAGGTTGTTTCCACAATTTGAACTCACGGCCTCCTAATCACATGATAACAATTTTATCAGTTACATCAAGACTTTCCTTAGATTAGGGTGCAATATTCCACCCTTATCATCACTGTGTCTCTGAGATTTATAGTGAAAGCAATATTCTGGGACATTCTCATATTCAACCCTTGAGTGATAGATCCTTCGAATTATGGACCCCGGATACTTGATGCCCAACTCTATTACATTATGCGACATCATCATTAATCATCTCATTTCCTTGAATTATGGACCCCGGATACTTGATGCCTTGGTTATGACTAGTGCATCGATCTTCACTTCTACCTTGACCTTATGCGTTACGTCATTGAACATACATTCTAGGTACTCTGTCTTAGTCCTACTTAACCTGAAACCTCTAGATTCTAGGGCCTCTCTCCAAATCTCCCATCTATTATAACTCTACCATGCATTTTGTTGTACCAGGCAAACTAATCATACTTCGAAAAATGATTTCAAGTTCTCTAAAGACTATCTCTACAAAGAGGGCAAGTTGAACGAGACAATCAAAAAGGTTTGTTACACCAATAATGGATTTGTAATTGAAAACATGAAGTACATCAATAAAAGATTGATCTATACCAATATCATGAAGGTGAAAAAGTTGTTGCAATTGATCTTAATAGGAACTTAACAAGTTAGTGAAGCAAATCAGAAATGAAGAAGATAATTACAAGAATTATGATGACAAGAAGTATAATTGAATTTTTCTGAGGTTTTCAACAAGAAGATTGATGAAGATGTGAAAAAACACAACTTTATGAATCTGTGTTCTTTCACATTTTTGACAATAGGAAATGAACAATACCAATAGGAACAAACTCGAAAGATTCAGTTTTTACTGAGAATTTTAGAAAAATGATTGATAAAAATGTGAAAGAACACACCTTTCATTAATTCTAACATGAAGTTGTGTGCTTTCACAAAAATGTCAGAATTAATGAAAGTTGTGTTCTTTCACCTTTTTATCAATCTTTTTTTTTTCAAGTCTCAGAAAGACTGAATCTTTTGAGTTTGTTTTCATTGGTGTTGTTCATTTCCTATTGTCACAAAGCAAAAAAAAAAAAAAAGAATCTTGATGAGTTTTTCTTGTAGTTATTTTGAAGATATGATTTGGGGTCTTGTTAAAATTCATGAAGTTGTGTTCTTTCACATTTTCATCAAAATCTTCTTACTGAAAACCTCGAAAAGATTCAATTATACTTCTTGTCATCATAATTCTTGCAATTATTTCTTCATTTCTGGTTTGCTTCACTTACTTGTTAGATTCCTATTAAGGTCAATTACAACAACTTTTTCACCTTTATTAGTGTAGATCAATCTTTTATTGACACACTTCCTGTTTTCAATTACAAATTCATTATTGATGTAAAAGACCCTTTTGATTGTCTCATTCAACTTACCCTCTTTGTAGAGATAGTCTTTTAGAGAACTTGAAATCAATTTTTTGGAGTATGATCGGTTAGCCTGATGATAGTTTTGGTTCCTACCCATTTGATTTCCTGGATACAAGTTATATTGATCTTCCTCTTCTTAAGAATATTTACTAACTCGTTTGACCTCCCTATTAATATCGCTATGTTTTATAGACTCAACTCACAATCTAGAATCTCTCTTGATACTTTTACCACACCTGCCCCCAAACCCTAACCCTAATCGAGGAGACATTCTTAAACTACCATCGTACCCAGAAGCCACTAACATAGGTTATAGAAATAGAAACATCAAATAATAGAACAATTAAGTTAACTGTATTAGGTAAGTGTAACAAAATATCAAAACAAGAACGATAGAACCTGAGTGTTGTCGAGGATTGTCCAGACGATGTCGAAACCATTGAACTCATCAAGAGGTCGGGCAGATCGGAGGAATTAGGTTTCCTCAAAACTCATCGCCGAAAAGAGTTTAATTTTGTTGAATCCGTTAATACACAAATACAAAAAAACAAGAAAGGAGGAAAGAGAGATATAAAAATAAAAGGGTCGATCAATTTCACCTTCCAGTCAACTAGTAGAAGAACATAGGGGTAGAGAGAAAAAGGAAGAATGAGAGAGAGAAATAAAGAGGAGGAAGAGTCCTTACTAATTAAGCAAAATTCACTTTATTAATTACCTTATTTTTCTAATTTTTATACTCTCATATCTATGGTGTATGATAATTTATTTATTATTAAGCCATTAACAAAAAAAAAAAAATCATTCAAATTACAATATATATATTTTTGGTATGTAGATGAATATTACACCATGTTGTGGTATTTATTGCAACTACTTCATTATTGTTTTTGAGTATTATAAAGAAAAGTATTCTATGAAGAGATAATTATAAGTGTCATAATTCAAATGGTTGGTTTTCATAGCTTGTTCTAAAGTGATGATATCATTTTCTAGTCTCTTCCAAATGATACCCAACAATTGTAGATGTCCTCAACAAAATCTGCCTCAAACTCTCCATAATGTTTATAAAGTCAAACCTTTTGTTCTATGTTGCTCGGACTTTTTAAAAATATTAATGTATACATGTTGACTTCTCCAAAAGATAGTGTATTTTTGGAAAATCCATATACGCATAGGAAGGATAACTTTCAAAACAGTCAACAAGAACAAACTGTGAAATCGTAAGTGGGTTCTGGGGAGGGTAGAGTGTGCGCAAATCTTATCTCTACCTCGTGGAGGCAGATAGACTGTTTTCGAAAGACCCTAGGCTCAAGTGCATCAAACCAAAGTAAAAGAAGAAGACCGTTAATAAGAAAAACAATATAAAGTCTACAAGAAAGACACAAAAACAACAACAAACACAATAAGCGACCTATGGCAAGAACTACAATGGTACGACTAATACTACGATAGAAACTAACAAGCCTAAACCTTCGCAAGGCATGACAACACTCCACCCGTAAACTTTCCAAGCAGTCAAAATGAAAACTATATAATCCACGAATTCATTTTTCTTGTGTAATTATCCGCCCGATAAGCAGCCCTACTTCTGCATCTAGTATTATGTTCTTGATGACTTGACATGATAAAATCAACATTACTATTCAAATAGTTAATTTTTTGCTGATTACATTACACATACTAATAGGTCTCATTTCAAAAAAAATGTTAAGGGGGGAATTCACTTTAGGAATGCACACAACAGCAAGACAGAGATTGAACTCAAGCATCAATATCACACAAGACAAGTAAATATATCAATCATCAACCAACTATACACATACGTTAATCCCAAACAAATTAGTGAAGAGATAAATCGACTATCTTTAAAAAAAAATGTACACAACAGCAAGACAGAGAACTAAAGGCAATGGTTCAGACTACAACATTTTATAAATATTCACAGCACTTAGAGCATAACTTTCAGAAAAGAAAACTACAATAAATAATACTATAGCTTCTTTCTAATAACTAACACTATTAGTTCGAATTACAATATTGTATATAGAGAAATACAAACAACTAAAATATATCCGCTAACACTTAAACTTCTGGGATTGCTACTTTACTGTTCCTTCTAACGCCTTCCTAGTCCTTGATCGTTTTGCTTCTTCTAGACAATCTCGAGTCCTTCACAAGTACAGCATCTGGATCAGCCCCGTCTTCCTTGCCCTTGAGAGCCCTCTCATGCTGATCGTCTGGTTCCTTTGTTGCCAATGCTGAAGTTGTGCCATCACCTTTTTTGGCCCCGTCTTCCTTGTTCTTAGTAGGCCTCCCACGACCCTGTTTTTTTGGTTGCTCCAAATGCACCACATGTCGAGGATCCTCCTCTTTTTCCTTTTGCTGCTGCTTCTTTTGTGTATTTGACGAACTCCCCCTTTTCTTGCTCTTTCCTTTTCTCGTTGGATTTGAGTTTTCGCTGTCACCAGGAAGCAAAAACCGTCCTCCATCAATCATAACAATTTCCCCCCTTTCACACATCTTCTCCAGATGATGTTTCAACATTGTCGTATGAGCCCTTGGCAAACTGTCATTATTTTTCATGATAAACTCAGATATCGAGTCTTCATTAGAACCCCCTTCTTCGTCCAATTCTTGCAACGCCTTTTCAATCATCTATAACAAAACAAAACATTCGATTTACATCGTTAATTAACAAAATTCAGAAGAGTTAACCCCTCCGAAAAATTGAAATCTATAACCAAAGAAATCATTTTAATCCAATAATCAACTCTAGTTTTTTTCAAAAATTCGAAAAAAAAGATAAATATAAGATTAGTTAAAACTTTCTACAAATCAGTTAATTCAAACAAAAAACACAAACTTAAGTGAAAAACTGAATTACCCAAGCGTAAGGAGGATGATCGGGGGTAGTCTGAAGATCAGACATATAACGATCAAGGTGCTGTTGAAGAATCGAATTCTGGGTCTCTGATAATGGCGCATTAGGTTCACTGTTGGACATTTTCACAATTCCTTCTCTCAATTTGTCCATGGCTTTCTCCAGATTCTTCTTCTTCTACAGCAACTTAGGATTTTCACAATTTTTTTTTTGGTGTGTTGACAGATACATCATTTCTGGTGGTATTTCCTATTTATAGAAGATTTTTGGGCGGTTGGGTTGAGAAATTTGATTTTTTTTTAAAAAAAAATATTTATTTTAAAAAAGACACCTCATGTGTCATCTCAAAATAAAATCATTTATTTGAAAAAAAAACAAAAGTATCTCCAATTTCCCGTTAAAACAGTTGAGAAATTTGAATTTTTTTTTTCTGGTTGTATTTTAAAAAAAAAGATTCGTTATTTGAAAATCAGTTATTTGAAAAAAGACATTTTGTTATTTAAAATTCATTTATTTGAAAAAACAAAAAAACAAAAAAATCTTCGATTACTCATTAAAACAGTTGAAAATTTCTGCAAAAATGAAATAACACTAGTCATTAATCTGTCAACTCATTAAAATACTTGCGAAAATTCTAATGTGCAATAGAAGTATCAAAAATAGAAGAAGAATAAGGAGAAAGCCATGGAGAAATTGAGAGAAGAGATTGTGAAAATGTTCAACAGTGATCCCAATGCGCCATTATCAGAGACCTATAACTCGATTCTTCAACAACACCTTGATCGTTTTATGTCTGGTCTTCAGACTACCCCCGATCATCCTCCTAACTCTTGGGTAATTCATCTTTTCACTAAAGTTTGTGTTTTTTGTTAGAATTAACTGATTTGTAGAAAGTTTTAACTAATCCCATTTATCTTTTTTTCAAATTTTTGAAAAAAATAGGATTGATTATTGGATAAAAATGAGTTCTTTGGTTATAGATTTCATTTTTGAGGAGGGGTTACCTCTTCTCAATTTGGTTGATAAGCGACGTAACTCAAGATCCTTGTGGCCAGGCCTTGTGAGGCTATAGTCTAATCCAATCCTTTCTTTTGTTATAGATGATTGAAAAGGCGTTGCAGGAATTAGATGAAGAAATGGGGTTCCAATGACGACTCGATATCTAGTTTATCAAGAAAGAGTATGGCAGTTTGTCAAGGGCTCATATGACCCTCTGCTAAAACATCATTCGTAAAAGATGTGTGAAAAGGGAGAATTACTTATGAATGATGGAGGACGGTTTTTGCTTTCAGCTAACAACAAAAACAGTGGTGCTGATTATGATGTATGATTCCTTGCTAAGTTTTGGCTTTAAGCCACTGATTGTATTGAGTTCCCTGCTGATAACATTGTGTTTGTGGTAATGTAGTAGCAACTGCTGCATTGATCTTGCTTTTAATTTAAATCGTTTACGTTTATAGTGGTCATGTACAAATGTAACATTTGATTCACCATATGCAAGTTTCCGCCTTTGCTTCTCACCACCACTATGGAGCAGATAATTAAGGAATTTGACAGTGACATTCTACTTCCTGAGGTCTTTGTTCCGTATTCTACAAGTTCTTCGGAGTTTATGTTAGGCCCGTGCTTCAAGGATGGATTTCCTTCGCGTGTTCACTTTGATGAACTTCTGATAGTATTGAGGAACTCCTGAAATCCATCCTTGAAGCACGGGCCTAACATAAACTCCGAAGAACTTGTAGAATACGGAACAAAGACCTCAGGAAGTAGAATGTCACTGTCAAATTCCTTAATTATCTGCTCCATAGTGGTGGTGAGAAGCAAAGGCGGAAACTTGCATATGGTGAATCAAATGTTACATTTGTGACCACTATAAATGTAAACAATTTAAATTAAAAGCAAGATCAATGCAGCAGTTGCTACTACATTAGCTACACAAACGCAATGTTATCAGCAGGGAACTCAATACAATCAGTGGCTTAAAGCCAAAACTTAGCAAGGAATCCAAAGAGAAAAGGTAAGAGCAAGAGAAGGGGGAATTCATCAATTACATACACAAAAGAAGTCGCAACAAAAGGAAAAGGATACTCGACATGAGGTGCATTTGGAGCAACCAATAAAACAGTGTCGTGGGTGGCTTGCTAAGTACAAGGAGGATGGGGCTAAAATAGATGATGATATAATTTCAGCATTGGCAACAAAGGAACCAATAGATCAGCGTTGTGAGAAGGCTCTCAAGGGCTAGGAAGATATAGGAAGGGACAGTAAAGCAAGGATTGTAGTTCCTTGAATCTTTATCTTAGGAAAAATGGTACAAATTGAGATAAAGTATCAAGTTTTACCTCACCCCATTCATCTTTTTTTTTTCAAAATTTTGAAAAAGTTAGGGTTGATTGTAGTTTATCATTTATGCTTGGTGGAAAAAGAATGAATTCTCTCGTCGTGATACTACCCTTGGTCATCCTTTTTATACTTGAGTAACTCATCTCTTCGTATAAACTTTGTATTTTTCATTATGATTAATTGTTGTAAGTGGTTTGTATAATGTTTTACTTCATCTATTAATTATTTTCCCATGAAAAATAGGATTAATTGTAGTCTATCACATGGATTTGCCGAAAAAAATAAATTCTTGGATTATAGTAATTTCATTTTGAGTGCTTAGAAATGGGTCATTCTTGATAATGCAAAATTTCATTCTTCATTTCTTATCTTGTCTTCACAACTATCCCTCATCATCATCCTTATATTTGGGTAACTCATCTCTTCATATAATTTTTTTTTAATCTTTCATTATGATAAATTTTTGTAAGTGATTTGAATGAAATTTTAGTTCATCCTTAAATTTTATTTTGAAAAAATTAGGGTTGATTGAGGAAATCATAATCAGTGTAACCTCACAAGTGGGGTTTAGTGATGACAGAATATAACACTCATTACCTCTATCTTTGAGGGTATCGAGGCTATTTTAGATAAACTCTCGTCTAAAAAAATGTAACCAACACATGAAAATAAGAAAGAAAAAGAGACAACAAAATAAAAATGTATAAATAAGTGTAGCAACAAATATTAATGCACATTGGAGAAATAGAAACTACGCAATACTTAAATCATGAAGTAGGACAACACTCAACTATCTACTAGCTTTCTACCTTAATCATCGACCATCATACCTCTTTATCTAAGGTCATGTCCTTAGTTAGTTGAAGTTGTATCATATCCTGTCAAATCAACTCCCTTAATTCCTTTTCAACCTACATATACCTCGCCCAACTCCTACTACGTACAACCAACCTGTCATACATCCTCACACTTCCTATTCTCATGGAGACTAGCCCCTAATGTAGTATAATTTCATTCTTAATCATATCTCTCCTAGTATGCCTACATATCCATTTGAGCATTTTCATTTCCACTACCTTCATCTGCCTCATACAATAGTGTTAGTCCAATCGCCACACTATATAACTTATCTTTAAGCCTTATTGACTTATTCTTACCGCATAGTATACTAGAGGTGAACCCTCATTTTATCCACCTCATTCCAATACGGTGTGTGACATCATCGTCAATCAACCCGTCTCCTTAAATTATAGACTGAAGATATTTAAAATCTTGAGTATGACTAGTGCATCAATCTTCACTTTCATTTCCACCTCACGAGTTATCAGTGAAATTGCACTCTGTACAATCAATTCGATGCAATTTAATTTCAGAATATCTAATAGAAATATCAAACAATAAAACAAGAATACTAAAATAACTAGGCAAGAGTAATAAAATATCTAAATAAAATATCAAAACAAGAACGATAGAACCTGGGTGTAATAAAGGGTCGTCCAAATTATAAGGAATGATCAGACGATGTCAAAATCATTGAAGCTCATCAGGCGAGTGGATCGAAGGAACTAGGTCACCCCAAAATTCATCGTCAAAAAGGGTTTCCTTTTACCGTACATGTTTCTTCGCAGATGCAACACACACACATCGATAGAAGAGGAAATAGATAGACCGAAAGAAGTAAAGGGGCGATCTACAATACTTGACTCCAACCAGCAAGTAGAAGAAGATGAGGAATAAAGAGAGAGAGAGAGGGGGGGGGGAGAAAGATAGATAGATAGAGAGAGAGAGAGAGAGAGAGAGAGGAGAGGGGGGGAGGGAGGGGTGAGATAGGGAGAGAAATAAAAAGAAGAAGGAGCCCTTATTAAGCGAAATTCACTTTATTGCCGTATATTCTAATGTTAATGCCCTCATATCTCTGTGTACGTAAATTCATTCATTATAAAGATATTAATAGATAATGATCATTCAAATTAAGATATATGTTTTGGGTAGATAGATATAGATCATGATGTGGTATTAATTGCAATTCGTTAATTATTTTTAGAATTATGAAGAAAAATAATTTATGAAGAGATAATATATACAATTGGCTGATCTGATAAGAATATTTATATCTAATAGTGGTATTGAATAGAATATTGAACAATAATCAAAATCCCTGGCAACACCATTAGGGATGAATATAAGAGATTCAAGACGAGTTTTTCACCAAATACACAATCGTAATACCAAAATTTGCACAAGTCGTTTACTCGGCCCCGACAACACCATAACCCACTCGTATATTTATCTTGGGCCATATATCTTGATTTGGGCCTAGATTGTGTTCTCTTTTTTGGGTAAACAATAGAATTTCATTAGTTTATAACCCGGGAAAGGGCCAAAAATATAATTTTATCTTTAAGCCTTAGTGACATATTTTTATCGCATAGTATACTAGATGTGAACCCTCATTTTATCCACCTCATTCCAATACGGCGTGTGACGTCATCGTCAATCAACCCGTCTCCTTAAATTATAGACTGAAGATATTTAAAATCTTGAGTATGACTAGTGCATCAATCTTCACTTTCATTTCCACCTCACAAGTTATCACTGAACTTGCACTCCTTGTACAATCAATTCGATGCAATTTAATTCAGAATATCTAATAGAAACATCAAATAATAAAACGAGAATAACAAAATAACTAGGCAAGAGGAACAAAATATCAAAATAAAATATCAAAACAAGAACGATAGAACCTGGGTGTAATCGAGAGTCGTCCAGATGATAAGGAATGATCAGACGATGCCAAAGTCATCGAAGTTCATCAAGTGGGTGGATTGACGGAACTAGGTCACCCCAAAATTCATCGTCAAAAAAGGTTTCATTTTATCGTACATGTTGCTTCGCAGATGCAAAACACACGCATACACAAAGCGATAGAAGAGGAAAGAGATAGACCGAAAGAAGTAAAGGAGCGATCTATGATGCTTGACTCCAACCAACAAGTAGAAGAAGAGAAGGGATAGAGATAAAGAGAGGTAGAGAGCGAGATATATATATATATATATATATATATAGAGAGAGAGAGAGAGAGAGATAGAGAGAGAGAGGGAGGGGGGGGATAGGGAGATAAATAAAGAGAAGAAGGAGCCCTTATTAAGCGAAATTCACTTTATTGTCGTATATTCTAATTTTAATGCCCGCATATCTCTACGTATGTAAATTCATTCATTATTAAGATATTAATAAATAATGATTATTCAAATTACAATATATGGTTTGGGTAGATGGATATAGACCATGTTGTGGTATTAATTGCAATTCCTTAATTATTTTTAGAGTTATGAAGAGAAATAATCTATGAAGAGATAATGTATACACTTGGCTGATCTGATAAGAATATTTATATGTAATTAATAGTGGTATTTAATAGAATATTGACGTCAGTGTATACAAAATATTATAGGGTGAAAATCGTTTTCATCCCCCCACGTTGCTTTAAAAATCATACTCGCCTCTCAACTTTGAACAATAATCAAACTCTCCGGCAACACCATCAGGGATGAATATAAGGGATTCAGGATGAGTTTTTCACCAAATACACAATAATACACAATCGTAATACCAAAATTTGCACAAGTCCTGTACTCAGCCCCGACAACACCATAACCCACTTGTAGATTTATCTTGGGCCAGATATCTTGATTTGGGCCTAGACCGTGTTCTCTTTTTAGGGTAAATAACAAAAATCCGTTAGTTTATTACCTAATTACTTCTTTCCCTTCAATTTTCATTATTATGAATCCTATCGAAAATTGAACCTCAGATATATGTATCTATTGCGTTTAGATACATATTAGATAGATGGATATCATTTAGTGTGTCTAATGAAGAAAGCATAACTGTTAATAAGAAAAGTTGTATAGTCTACAAGAAAGACACAAAAACAACAACAACAAACACAATAAGCAACCTATGGCAAGAACTACAACGGTACGACTAGTACTTTGACAGATTCGGAAGGCATGATAACACACTGCCCCTAAACTTTCACATCTAGTATTATGTTCTTGATGATTTGACTTGATAAAATCAGCATTACTATTCAAAGAGTTAATTTTTTGTTAATTACATTACACATACTAATAGGTCTCATTTCAGAAAAATGTTGAGGGGAATTTACTTTAGGAATCATAGCAATATTAGTATGAGTTAACCATGAAGACTAACATCACAAAAAAGGGCTGTAACCTGCAAGGCATAAGTAGGTTCAGGATACAATCTGTTGTATTTGGGGATTCGTGCTTAGCACGATCATGGAACTTGTAAAAGATTTAATTTGCATATTAACATACTTGGAATCTATTACTTTAATGTTTGAGGTTCATTTTACATAAAACGTTTGTGATCGTAGTACTTTGGGAAGAATTTCATTTCGTATTCATGACATTAGACATCTCGAACTAACTTATCAGATTCATCAATAACGACTCGACTTTAAGACAAACATATTCAAGTAAGGGACATACCAAACTCCTCAATCATCATGAGATTTAAAACATACTTGGCCTTAGCTTTATCAAGATTAGCTCTTTTTTCAGGACTGTTGTTGGTCTTCATAGCCTGTTCTGCAGTGATGACGTTATTTCCTAGCGTCTTCGGTTCATTGTAGATATCTCCATAGGTAATTTCAGACCATCTGTTAAAATAAGTTGTAGCCAAATGAGTCACAAATGTATATGAAAATGTTGAATAGTGATGTTCACAGTGAAGTGATTGTTCTAGAACAACGATATCTTATTGTTAACATTAGAGAGACCCCTGCATATCAAGCATTCTAATATAATTTGTAATCTGAACATAATTGACAAACGGTTTTTGAAGACTTATTAGAGAATATTGTATCGCTTTTTGATTAGCTTTCCTCAATGAGGTGCAAGTTAAGTTGTGCGGACTCTTCACTTTTGATGCCTTATCTGTGTCGGATTCTCCAAAAATATACTACTTATGGAGAATCCGTCATGCACCTGTTGACATTTTTTAAGAGTCTGAGCAACATAGAGTACAAGCATAACAGGAACTGTTACCAAGATTGGGATAGCTGTAAGCCTGTAACCTTTCTCTTCTCTTGCATAGTAGTGGGAATTTCATTTTTGTTCTCCTGTTCTGAAAATGTGATCACCCTTGTGTCTGGACCTCTTTTTGCTCTTCTCTTTCTTTCTCATCAACTTGCGTCCTGTCATTTCCATTCTTCACTTCTTTTTTTGTTCTCCGTTGTTACTTGTTGAGGTTCCTGGTTGTTGTTTTTTGTCATTGTGATCGGAAACCATTCTGCATAATGCGTCCCATTTAAAGAAGTGCCACCTTCCTCTAGGATGCCATTTTTTATTTTGAAAACGTCACAAGTACTCTGCTCACCTTCCTCTTACTTCCATTACCATTCGCGACTGCTACAGCAAAGTGAAATTCAAAGAGGGATCCATCCAGGTACTCTGCTCTCCAGAAGGGGAATTTATCCTTAATGCGAGATTTCCTGATTCAGATATGAATTTAATCGGACCCCCCAACAGATATCGAACACCAGGTGAGAGAACAAATTTAAAAAAAATGCAACGTCCTCGACCACACCATTTTCAGGTGTTACATCTATGATTATTCCATTGAAAAAGAAAAAGTTTTTAGATATTCAGATTTCAGTGCAAAGCTCATGGAGAAATTAGTTGAATTTCTTGAATAGACATTGAACTCAAGCATCAATATCACACTAGACAAGTAAATATATCAATCAATCAACTACACATACGTCAATCCCTAGCGACTATCTTTAAAAAAATGTACACAACAACAAGACAGAGAAATAAAGGCGATGATTCAGACTACAACATTTTATAAATAGGCAAAGCCTGTAGAGAGTACACAAGTTTTATTATATAGAGCATAACTTACAGAAAAGAAAACTACAATCGACTAGTAAATAATACTATAGCTTCTGTCTAATAACTAACACTATTAGTTCGAATTACAATATTGTATATAGAGAAATACAAACAACTAAAATATATCCGCTAACACTTGAACTTCAGGGAATGCTACTTTACTGTGCCTTCCAACGCTTTCCTAGTCCTTCATCATTTTGCATCTCAAGTCCTTCAGAAGTACAGCATCTGGATCATCCACGTCTTCCTGGCCCTTGAGAGCCCCCTCACGCTTATCTTCTGGTTCCTTTGTTGCCAATGCTGAAGTTGTGCCATCACCTTTTTTGCCCCCGTCCTCCTTGTTCTTAGCAGGCCTCCCACGACCCTGTTTTTTCGGTTGCTCTAAATGCACCACATGTCGAGGATCCTCCTCTTTTTCCTTTTGCTGCTGCTTCTTTTGTGTATTTGACGAACTCCCCCTTTTCTTGCTCTTTCCTTTTCTCGTTGGATTCGAGTTTTTGCTGTCACCAGGAAGCGAAAACCGTCCTCCATCAATCATAACAATTTCCCCCCTTTCACACATCTTCTCCAGATGATGTTTCAGCATTGTCGTATGAGCCCTCGGCAAACTGTCATTATTTTTCATGATAAACTCAGATATCGAGTCTTCATTAGAACCCCCTTCTTCGTCCAATTCCTGCAACGCCTTTTCAATCATCTATAACAAAACGAATCATTCGATTAAAATCATACATTACATCATTAATCAACAAAATTCATAAGATCTAACCCCTCCTCAAAATTGAAATCTATAACCAAAGAACACATTTTTATCCAATAATCAACTCTAGTTTTTTTCAAAAATTCGAAAAAAAGATAAATGGGATTAGTTAAAACTTTCTACAAATCAGTTAATTCTAACAAAAAACACAAACTTTAGTGAAACGATGAATTACCCAAGCATAAGGAGGATGATCGGGAGTAGTCTGAAGACCAGACATTAAACGATCAAGGTGCTGTTGAAGAATCGAGTTCTGGGCCTCTGATAATGGCGCATTAGGTTCACTGTTGGACATTTTCACAATTCCTTCTCTCAATTTGTCCATGACTTTCTCCAGATTCTCCTTCTTCTACAGCAACTTAGAATTTTCAAAAGTTTTTTTTTGGTGTGTTGACAGATGCATCATTTCTGGTGGTATTCCCTATTTATAGAATTTTTTTGGGCGGTTATGTTGAGAAATTTGATTTATTTTTTTTTGTCGTTTTGGGTGATGATTTTTTTTTAAAAAAAATATTTATTTTAAAAAAGACACCTCATGCATCATCTCAAAATAAAATCATTTAGTTGAAAAAAAAAACAAAAATATCTTTCATTTCCCGTTAAAACAGTTAAGAAATTTGAATTTTTTTTTGGGGTTTTGGAAATGGTTTTATTTTTTTAAAAAAAGACATTCGTTATTTGAAAATCATTTATTTGAAAAAAGACACTTCATTATTTGAAAATCATTTATTTGAAAAAAGACATTTCATTATTTGAAAATCATTTATTTGAGAAAAAAAATCTTCGATTTCTCATTAAAACAGCTGAAAATTTCTCCAAATAATGAAATAACACCAGTCATTGATCTGTCAACTCGTTAAAATACTTGCGAAAATTCTAATGTGCAATAGAAGTAACAAAATTAGAAGAATAATAAGGAGAAAGCCATGGAGAAATTGAGAAAAGGGATTGTGAAAATGTCCAATACTGATCCCAATGCGCCATTATCAGAGACCCAGAACTCGATTCTTCAACAACACCTTGATCGTTTTATGCCTGGTCTTCGGACTACCCCCGATCATCCTTCTTACGATTGGGTAATTCATCTTTTCACTAAAGTTTGTGTTTTTTTTGTTAGAATTAACTGATTTGTAGCCCCATTTATCTTCTTTTTTTCCCCGAATTTTTGATAAAATTAGGGTTGATTATTGGATAAAAATGAGTTCTTTGGTTATAGATTTCATTTTGAGGAGGGGTTACCTCTTCTCAATTTGGTTGATAAGCAATGTAACTTAAGATCCTTGTGGCCAGGGCCTTGTGAGGTTATAGTCTAATCCAATCCTTTCTTTTGTTATAGATGATTGAAAAGGCGTTGCAGGAATTAGATGAAGAAATGGGGTTCCAATAAAGACTCGATATCTAGTTTATCAAGAAAGGCTATGACAGTTTGCCAAGGGCTCATATGACCCTCTGCTAAAACATCATTCGCAGAAGATGTGTGAAAAGGGAGAAGTACTTATTACTGATGGAGGACGGTTTTTGCTTTCAGCTAACAACAAAAACTTGAATCCAAAGAGAAAAGGTAAGAGCAAGAGAAGGGGGAAGTCATCATCAATTACGTACACAAAAGAAGTCACAACAAAAGTAAAAGGATCCTCGACATGAGGTGCATTTGGAGCAACCAATAAAACAACTTCGTGGGAGGCTTGCTAAGTACAAGGAGGATGGGGCCAAAATAGATGATGATGTAGTTTCAGCATTGGCAACCTAAACATCAACGTCGTAAAGAGGGCTCTCAAGGCCAGGAGGACAGGGTTGATCCGGATACCACACTTATGAAGGACTTGAGATTATCTTAGAAGAAACAAAACGATCTAGGGCTAGGAAGATATAGGAAGGGACAGTAAAGTGAGGAATGTAGTTCCTTGAATATTTCTCTTAAGAGGGAAAATGGTATAAATTGAGATAAAGTATCAAGTTTTACCTAACCCCATTCATCTTTTTTTCAAAATTTTGAAAAAGTTAGGGTTGATTGTAGTTTATCATTTTTGTTTGGTGGAAAAAGAATGAATTTTTGGGTAATGATTTTTATTTTGAGTGCTTGAAATTGTGCAATTCTTAATGACCTAGAACTGCATTCATCAACAATGTCTTACCCATTTTCTCTCTTGTTTTGATACTACCCTTGATCATCCTTCTTATACTTGAGTAACTCATCTCTTCGTATAAATTTTGTATTTTTCATTATGATTAATATTTTTAAGTGGTTTGTATAATGTTTTACTTCATCCATTAATTCTTTTCCTATAAAAAAAATAGGATTAATTGTAGTTTATCACATGGGTTTGCTGGAAAGAAAAAAAATCTTGGATTATAGTTTCATTTTGAGTGCTTAGAAATGGGTCATACTTGATAATCCAAACTTTCATTCTTCATTTCTTATCTTGTCTTCATAACTATCCCTCATCATCATCCTTATATTTGGGTAACTATCTCTTCATATAATTTTTTTTTTAATATTTCATTATGATAAATTGTTGTAAGTGATTTGAATGACATTTTACTTCATCCTTAATCTTATTATGAAAAAAATTAGGGATGATTAAGGAAATCATATATACATCTTAGATACAACAATCAGTGTAACCTCACAAGCGGGGTTTAGTGATGACAAAATATAGAACTCATTTACCTCTATCTTTGAGGGGTATAGAAGTTATTTTAGATAAACTCTCGTCTAAAAAAATGTAACCAACACATGAAAGTAAGAAAGAAAAAAGACAACAAAATAAAAATGTATAAATAAGTGTAGCAACAAATATTAATGCACATTGGAGAAAAAGAAACTATGCAATACCTAAATCATGAAGTAGGACAACACTCAACTATCTACTAGCTTTCTACCCTAATCATCGACCATCATACCTCTTTATCTAAGGTCATGTCCTTAGTTAATTGAAGTTGTATCATGTCCTGTCAAACTACTCCCTTAATTCTTTTTCAACCTACATATACCTCGGCCTAACTCCTACTACGTACAACCAACCTATTATACATCCTCACACGGAAAATACTCACCCCTTGTGTAGTATAACTTCATTCTAATCATATCTCTCCTAGTATGCCCACATATTCATTTGAGCATTTTCATTTCCACTGCCTTCATCTGCCTCATACGATAGTGTTAGTCTAACCGCCACACTATATAACTTAGCTTTAAGCCTTAGTGACATATTTCTATTGCATAGTATACTAGAGGTGAACCCTCATTTTATCCACCCCATTCCAATACGGTGTGTGACATCATCATCAATAAACTTGTCTCCTTAAATTATAGACCGAAGATATTTAAAATCTTGAGTATGACTAGTGCATTAATCTTCACTTTCATTTCCACCTCAAGGGTTATCACTGAACTTACACTCCATGTACAATCAATTCGATGCAATTTAATTCAGAATATCTAATAGAAACATCAAACAATACAACAAGAATACTAAAATAACTATGCAAGAGTAACAACATATCAAAATAAAATATCAAAACAAGAACGATAGAACCTGGGTGTAATCGAGGGCCGTCCAGATTATGAGGAATGATCAGACGATGTAAAAATCATCAAAGCTCATCAAGTGGGTGGATCGAAGGAACTAGGTCACCCCAAAATTCATCGTAAAAAAGGGTTTCATTTTATTGTACATGTTGCTTCGCAGATGTAAAACACACACATACACAAAGAGATAGAAGATGAAAGAGATAGATCGAAAGAAGTAAAGGGGGATCTACGATGATTGACTCCAACCAACAAGTAGAAGAAGTGGAGGGATAGAGATAAGGAGAGGGAAGGGGGGGGGGGATAGAGAGAGAGAGAGAGAGAGAGAGAGAGAGAGAGAGATTGGGAGATAGGGAGAGATTGGGAGATAGAGAGAGAAATAAATAGAAAAAAGAGCCCTTATTAAGCGAAATTCACTTTGTTGTCGTATATTCTAATTTTAATGCCCTCATATCTCTACATATGTAAATTCATTTATTAGTAAGATGATAATAAATAATGATCATTCAAATCAAAATATATGTTTTGGGTAGATGGATATAGACCATGTTGTGGTATTAATTGCAATTCCTTAATTATTTCCACCTCATGGGTTATCACTGAACTTGCACTCCATGTACAATCAATTCGATGCAATTTAATTCAGAATATCTAATAGAAACATCAAACAATAAAACAAGAATACTAAAATAACTATGCAAGAGTAACAAAATATCAAAATAAAATATCAAAACAAGAACGATAGAACCTGAGTGTAATCGAGGGCCGTCCAGATGATAAGAAATGATCAGATGATGTCAAAATCATCAAAGCTCATCAAGCGGATGGATCGAAGGAACTAGGTCACCCCAAAATTCATCGTAAAAGGGTTTCATTTTACTGTACATGTTGCTTCGCAGATGCAAAACACACACATACACAAAGCGATAGAAGAGGAAAGAGATAGATCGAAAGAAGTAAAGGGGCGATATACAATGATTGACTCCAACCAACAAGTAGAAGAAGTGGAGGGGTAGAGATAAAGAGAGAGGGGAGAGAGATGGATAGATAGATAGATAGATAGATAGATAGATAGATAGATAGATAGATAGATAGATAGATAGATAGATAGATAGATAGATAGATAGATAGATAGATAGATAGATAGATAGATAGATAGATAGATAGATAGATAGATAGATAGATAGATAGATAGATAGATAGATGGGGAGATAGGGAGAGAAATAAATAGAAGAAGGAGCCCTTATTAAGCGAAATATTGTCGTATATTAAAATTTTAATGCCCTCATATCTCTACGCGTGTAAATTCATTCATTATTAAGATATTAATAAATAATGATCATTCAAATTACAATATATGTTTTGGGTAGATGGATATAGACCATGTTGTGGTATTAATTGCAATTTTTTAATTATTTTTAGAGTTATGAAGAGAAATCATCTATGAAGAGATAATATATACAGTTGGCTGATCTGATAAGAATATTTATATGTAATAGTGGTATTTAATAGAATATTGATGTTAGTGTATACAAAATATTATAGGGTAAATATCGTTTTCACCCCCCAACTTTGCTTTAAAAATCAAACTCGCCCCTCAACTTTGAACAATAATCAAACTCCCTGGCAACACCATCAGGGATGAATATAAGGGATTCAGGACGAGTTTTTCACCAAATACACAATGGTAATACAAGTCTTGTACTCATCCCCGACAACACCATAACCCACTCGTAGATTTATCTTGGGTCAATTATCTTGATTTGGGCCTAGACTGTGTTCTCTTTTTAGGGTAAACAACAGAAATCTGTTAGTTTATTACCTAATTACTTATTTTCCCTTTAGTTTTCATTATTATGAATCCTATTATAAACTGAACCTCAGATATATGTATCATTTAGTGTGTCTAATTAAGAGATATAGTTGAAAGACATTAATTAAGAAGGAAATCACGTTTGTAACAACTTTTGAAGATATGACATATCATATATATCTCCTAAAATAATTCAAATCCTATACTATGATAGGATCTTAAAATTAATAATTACTACTTAAAAAGCACTATAGTCTATGAAATAAGAGTTGTATATAATAGCAAATTCCAAGTGTCTGGTACTCCAGCAATACACCAATGGCTGCAATCTAGTTCACCACTTGTGCCACAAATAGATGGATGCCCATCTTTTCTTAATTGAGTCAACAATGTAATATCAAGCAATTGTACATGCTTCTTCATTGTGTTCAACACTTCCTTTATGACAGGTTCTCCTGGATATCTTTCTCCTGGATAAGTTGAACCTCCTATGGGTTTGGTTTTCCCCTTGCAGTTTACTCCCTTTGGTTCACCCCAATTTGCACCACTAGTCAAAGCCAACCAAGAAAAAAGATCACATATATATAGTGTTATATATATCCTCCGCTTCATATTATCAGTCTTTTAAGATTTGACACATTCATTGAGAAAGAATATAGTATTAATTACCTTAATTAGTTGTAATTGGTAGCAAAGTCGTATAAACGAAAGGATGGTCAGATAAACTTCATTCTTCATAAATTTGCTTTTAACACAGAGAGTAAATTAAAGGGCATAATACATGTATTGACAATCCCTTAAATTTATCAATAAATTCCATTCAGACATTTAAACTAAGATATGTTCCAATTAAGCACATGAACATGATAGAATATTCCTATTGGACACAAATTTTGAAAAAAGTTTTTATGTGTATAAAATAACTAATATTTGGAATGAAAAATAATAATTCATCAAATTTAAGGTACTTGCGAAAAATGAAGAGCAGGAATTCCTTGAAAGAAAACACTAGTCTTGTTAGGATCTATGTTAGTGTCAATCCATTTAGCCCAAGTACTCAATCCAATATTATATTCTTTCATACGATCCATATCTTTAATTAGTTTGCCACCAACTTCTAAGTAATCCCACCTAAAAAAAAAGGAACAAATAGTTATCAAGAGCTCCATATATATAAATGACTCATTCGCTGTAGAGACAGATTCAGAATTTAAAATCATATTTTTTATTTTCACATAAAATGAGACAAATGAAAGTAATAACGAGTCATTACGCTTGTAATGTTCCAGTATGAGTCCACCAATAATAATTGTTAAAGATTAAAACATCAGCTCCTTCCCAAATTGAGGTGTTGGTAATTGAATCAAGCTTCAAAATTCTACCATCTTTCTCAATGGAAAGGTCTACCAGAAATTCATTCTTCAAGTATTGCAATGACACTTCATATTCCTTTCAATATTATCAACAAAATAACAAGTTAGACAAGTTCAAGAACAAATCAACAATAAGAGTAATTTTTTTCTAAATAAAATAAAATAATTTATTTACACAAACAGTGTAAAAAATATTTACATAATTACATCAACTTTAAAATAAATCAACACGATAAGCTTATTAGCTTATCATTAGTCCGCTATCAAGTGTTAAATTACTTTGATAATGTAAGAAAACATAATTTTCACGTGCTTGACTCATAAAAAAATAATTAAATAAATGTTTATGCTTACTAGAAATTTGAGAGTGATAAGAGTATCCCCTGTCTGATAGTCATATTTGGAAGAAGGAAGAGCAGCATAAAGCAAACATGCAACGGGATTCCCATTGATTGTTGCCTAATGAGTCTCCCACAAACACAATTTTTTTACCTTTCATTTTTTCTAGCAAAGCTTTTCCATCAAACCTATAGACAACAAATTCAAGAAAATAAATTTATTTATACATATAGGTTTAACCAAATATTGGAGGAGGGAGGAAGTAATATTAGGGACGATAAAATCAGTTCATGAAAATATATATGAGACATTCAATCCGTCCATGAAATCGAGTGATGATAAATTTTACTTCAATTTATACATATAGGTTTAACAAAATATTGGATGGTGGGAATAATACTAGAACTGACAAAATTAATCCATGAAAATATGACTGACACAATTTGTCCATTTATTGGTTCAACCTATTTTAACTAGTTCAATTCAGTCCATCTAAAATTTTGGGTAGATATGTAGGTCAAATTGATCTATAAAAAAACCTTAAATATTTTTAAGAAGACATTATTTCTGTTGATAGGTTATATAGTTATAATTTTTTTTATTAAGTACATAGAAAATTATAAAAGAACAAACAAAGAAACTACATTTTACTAAAATCTATATAAAGAATTTTATTTTGTGCCTCACACAATTGATGAGTGTGTGAAATTTCTTTTTGTTTAAAAAATTAGTGGATTCAAATTTTATACTTTGAATCCACTAATTTGTGAAGTAAAAAAGACATCTCACACAAGATTTGCATCAATTTTGTGAGGCACAAAGGCAACTTTTTTTATATTTTCCATTCCACTATTTTTTTTTATAATCATGATAATAAAGTCAACTTACATGTATCTTGACTAATTTTACAAATATATGTTACCTTCCACCATCAACAGATACCAGATATGAAAAAGAGTTTAAGTAGCAAGTCATACCTTGGGAGATTTGCAAGTTGTAGGCTGCCATCTATATTTGAGATAAAACTCATCAACCCTTCCATTCTTAAGACAATTGAATCCATTAAGTAAAAAAGGACAATTTAATGAATCATAAATTGGGTAAGATTCATCATAAACCCAACTTCCTTCAAACAAACTACAATTTTCCAATGTTGAATTCATCCCATTTGATTTGTGAAGAAAACATGATATTAATAAGAGAAGAAAATGAATATAAAGGATAGTCTTTTCCATTAGATAAGAGTTTGTGAAAATAGAGAACTTTGAAAATGACAATGTATACAAGAATTTAGAACTTAAACAAATTAAATGAAGCTACCAAGATTAATATACACCTTCCTAATTTACATAGTCATTTAAGGTAAAAAAAAAGTAAATTAATTACTCCCAAGTGATTAATCAATCTTACTAAATATGATAAATTTGTTTTAAACGGTAAATTAATCACGTATGTATGAATAATAAATAAAAATCTAAAGAATAGAAAATTTAATGTTATTTTATATAAGTCTTGTAAATCTTTTAAATCCTCAGATTGCATAGCAAATTGAGAAATTAATTAAAGAACTTTCCAATCACATACAAGGAAAGTAATTTGAAAAAATATCAACTACTAATATACTGTCAGTCTAAAGAATTTTCTTTTTACACTATCAGGATGTCACCAAAAAATATTTTCAAGTAAACATTCTTAAAATATAAAATTTATAATCTTGAAAATAAAATAAATTACCAATTACAAGTAAATATAATTTAATGATATAATATATTTTTTACATCAATAATTTACATAACTCGAACGCATATAAATAATTTGAATTTTTAAGAAGGTGGGGTGACACTTTAAGACGAGAAACCACATTCATCATTTTCCTTAATTATGACGTCAACTTTTCAAGAAATGTCTTAATTATATCATATTAATATCTTATACATGTAGAAATATTCAAAAAGAACGTACAAGCTATTTCTTTTGTTAGTTAATTAGTCACATACATTGGTTAGAAACAATACCTTTCGAGATCGTTTGGTACGCTAGATAAGAAGGAATATTTTATGATTAAGTTTGTAATTAAATTTATATTCTGTTTGATTAACAATCGTCTTTGAACTATGTTTACATTGCTGTTACAGCACCAACATATTTCAGAATTAGATATGCCTCTTCTAACAAGAACTTCCCCTATAGGAATTCTTCTAAACCATAACCTCCATATATTACATGAATGACACCTTAAAAGGTAATCCTTTCTCCCATATGTTTAATATCTTCTCAATAGGCTCATTTCTATTTCTATACAACTCCCAAGCTGATTTAATCTTAAATTTTTCATATCCACTGGGCATCCGCCAAGGATTGTCTCTTTCCTATGACGGTGTTAGGTTTCCCAAGTTTCTGGTGACATGATTAAAAGTTTCCTTATCAAGATTTTCTTGTATACTGTCTAATCCCATCCATCCTCATTGAACAACTGATTAACTGATTCCACTTGATCATGGTTCAGATTCATATGATAGTGTAGGGCTCCTAATTGAGTCCAATTATCAAATCATACACTAGTATATCCTTCCTTTGTTTCCCATAAAATTTCTTGATAAAAAAAAATCTCTTGTCAATAACATATTCTTCCGTACTTGAGAACCCCCTTTCCATTCTACTGTATGTGGTTTGTGCCTCTTACAGTACTCGTTCCACCTATAGTTAGACCACATTGTATTGGTTGTCCTAAATTTCCACCATAACTTGGCAAAAAAGCCTTAGAGAGGTCAAATAAAGACCTAAGCCCCAATCCTCCTCCTTCTTTTGGCATACATACATCCTTCTATGTTATCCAGTGGATAGATCTTCCCTCCTCTTTAAAGTTCCACAGAAATTTAGCAAACATTCTATGAATATCATGTATTACACACTTGGGGGGAGAGGATTAAGGACAAATTAAAGATAAATAGGGATGCTCTTAAGCACACTATTTAATAAAACTGTTTTACCCCCAAAAGTTAGAAGCTTTCCCTTCCACAATTGTAACTTGTCTTGAATTTTCTTTAATAATACTGTGAAATGTACCTTCTTCTTCTTAGCATGACCAATAGAGCAACCTATGTATGTCAAAGGAAATTAACCTCTTGAGAAACCAGTGACATCAATTGTCTAGATACATGTTTTGCCTTATTATATACATAATATGAGCTCTTATCTTTATTAATCAATTGTCCTGATTGTTCCTCATATTTTTGAGGGATGCTCTGAAGCACACTATTGATTAACTTAGGGTATTTTACAAGTTTTTTGTATGAAGTTTTACTTCATCCATTAATCCCTTTTCCCTAAAAATAAGGATTGATTGGAGGAGCGCTTACTCTTAGATACAATAACAACAATATATTAGTGTAATTCCGATCCACAAGTGGAAGCGGAGTTTGAGGAAGGTATATGCAGATCATATCTTTACCTTTACGGAATAGAGAGGTTATTTCTGATAGACCCTCGACTCAAAAAAAAATATCTAGCACTTGAAAGTAAGAAAGAAAAAAAGACAACAAATAATAAATGTACAAAATACGTGGATATTAATACACATTGGAGAAAAAGAAACTATATGATACCTAAATCATACTATTAGAAGTATAACAACACTCAACTACTTGCTAGCCTTCAACCTTAATGGTGACTCATGAACACCACTTCCTATATATGATGCCTAAAAAAGAAAACAAATATAAGTTGACAAAAGACTATCATCAGACAAACTGATCATACTCCAAAAAATGATTTCAAGTTCTCTAAAGACTATTTTTTTTTAAAAATTAAGTGTATGTGTGCCATTGTCCGTGAATCTATCGTGATTGTATGTGTTGCCATCTTCTAATATTTACTTACTTATATTCCATGGAATCAATCTAGATGTGCGCAAGGTGGCTAGATCACCACAATTCTAAAATAAGTACTTAAAAGATATATTCATTTTATTCGAACTCTTACAACTAAAATAAGAATTACGATATATGAAAACATGATTTTCTATAGTCACTAGATATATTTTATAACTTTCCAAATTTCAAAATGAATGAGAATAAATACTGAATCAAACAAGAGACGTGAGGAAAATCTTAGAGACATACCATGGTGGAAATAAAATTTAAGGATTGATGAAAATTCAAAATTCAACAAATTGTGCTAAATCAATCGTTAACACAATTCATATATTAAAATATGATAATCACTCTTTTGTTGATGAAAACATAGTTCATCCTTTTGTTTTCAGTACCACGTCAGAGATTTATCAACAAAAAAAGTTATTATCAGATTCTAATATACATTTATGAGTTATGTTAATAATTGATTACATACAAATTAATGAGTTCTGAATTTTCACCATTCCTTAAATTTTCTTGTTTCCACCATGATATGTTTCTAAGGGTTTCCTCACTTATATATCTCGTTTGATTCAGTATTTTTGTTCTTTTTACGAACTTAATGTCGATAAATCTGCGAATCTATAAATTCATTTCGGCCAATTGAACCTTCTCGAACTCTTTCTTTTTAAGACCCAAAAAGATTTGTGCCAAAATAACAGATGCCAAGAAGAACAAAAGTCATTGGACACGTAATGAATCTTGAAGTACTATTTCTGCATCTCCTTTTCGTTTTAATTTTTGAAATTCGGCAAGTTATAAGTATATCCTGTGACTATCATTAATTAGAAATTCTTATTTAAGTTGTAAGAGTTCCAATAAAATGGATATATTGTTACTTTTAGTTGTAGGACTCCCATAAAAAGATACAAAAATCACTAGTATAGTGGTTTTGAAGATTTTGTATCTTTTATTTTGATTAATTGTTATAAGTAATTTAGATGAACTTTTACTTCACTTGTTAATCTTTTTTTCAAAAAATAGGGTTGATTGTAGTTTATCACATGGGTCTACTAAAAAAATGAATTCTTGTACTATAGTTTTCATTTTAAGTGATTGGAAATGGATTATTCTTGATGACATAGAATTCTTTTCTTATATAACACCTTGCCAATTTCCTCTAGTCTTTATACTATCCCTGATTTTTTATTTTATTTTGAAAGATCTTCCTTCTTATACTTGGGTAACTCATATTTTCATATAAATTGTGTATCTTTCATTATGATTAATGTTATAAGTGATTTGTATGAAGTTTTACTTTACCATTAATCTTTTTTTCTAAAAAAATAGGGTTGATTGGAGGAGCTCTTATCTCTTAGATACAACAATAATATACTCAGTGTAATTTTACAAGTGAAAATCGGGTCAAGAAGAATAGAATGTACATAGACCTTATCTTTACCTTTGTTGGGTAGATAAGTTGTTTCAAATAGACTCTCAACTCAAAAAAAAAATGTAATCAACACATGAAAGTAAGAAAGAAAAAGAGACACCAAAATAGAAATGTATAGAATAAGTGTAGCGACAGATATTAATAAATATTGGAGAAAAAAAAACTATATGATACCAAAATCATACTACCATAAGTATGAAACCACTCAACTATGATATTATACAACCCAGTCAACTACTCCGTATTTGTCTTTCTACATTCTTCCAAAAACTCATTGGGATCTCACCTTGTGAACTCTCTCCTCCCCTCCTCATCTTACAAATAACCCTCCCCCAAACCTCCGGAACATTTATAGATTTATAGTACCCAAAATTTGATCGAATGTGTCTTCAAATGCTAGCTCTAACTACTCTGACATGATATCCTTATCCCCTTCTTTGTTCAAGAGCTTAAGGGAATATGTTTGCTATCTCAATTTAATGTGTGTGTTTTATTTAAGAAAATATAATTGGACTGGTTTAGAGTCGCCACTTAATTTTTAAGAAAAATCAAGAAAACTATTGTTTTCAAAAAGACTAAAACAGTAAATCTATTGAAAACTATTAAGGGGGTTCGAGGTTCTTATTAACATTCTAGGAAGGTTTTAAAAGCACCTAGAATGTCCACTAATGTGGTTATCCGACGATTAATTATTTGACTTAATCCGATTTGAACAATTGTTATAAGTAGGACCGGGAAAGGGGAAATATTAAGATTTTATCTAAGTGGAATATTTTGCAAAATTAAATTTTTAGGCCTCGTTAAAGGTGATTGATTTAGTTAAGTTATAAAATCAAAACGGGTATCTTTTGGGGATTTGAGTTTTAAAACCTTAAGATTTAGTAACACATTGACAAATAAACACTAATAAAGTAAAAAAGGGGAATTTGGGCCCAAGTCTGGTTTTCTGTCCGCCTAGGCCAGCACTTGGGCCCATTTTCGTTTTAGGCCAAAGGCCCATTTGAGCGGCACCTGTCCAAAATTAAAAGAAATAATTTCCTTTGGGCCTCTGGCCCAAATTTCACCTGTCCTAAGAACTAACGCAATAATAATATATAATGACGAGGGGGCTTAGGCCCAATATAACAAAATACAATTCAGAAATAATAGAGGCGGGCTTTTGGCCCAATCCTTTTCAACTCCCGATCTGCTCTACTTTTCTTTCAACTTCGAAACCTGTTCATCGATTCTTAATAGGCTGGCCGACTCGATGAAAAAGGAATTTGAGCCCTTAAGGCTCCCCCCGAAATGCAAGAGAGAAGATAGGAGTTCGTAGTGAACTCGAGCGGATTTCACATGCAAACAAAGGAGAAATAAGGAGTTAAAATATTATCCAAATTGATAACAAGACTAAACTGATTTAAGACACTTAACCCTATTAAAGTATTTCATGCCGAGTAATGTTGAGCATTAAAAGCTTTGAAGAAATAACTACATTGATCATTGGAAATTGACAAAATCAATATAGTAGCTGGCATCATAGGCATATGGACAACAAAATAAAAATAAAGAAAATAACAAAAATAACAAAAGGAATAAATAGAAACAGATTCGAGAGAAATAATTCAACCCTTTTCAATACACACATTTGTTTATAGTCAGTTGAGCAAGGAGCAACTAAGGAAATTTTTTTTTTTACTATTGAACCCATAAATAAACACATTCTACGTGAAATATATATACCAAACAAGGATGTTTCCGAGCAAGTAATCGATCAGCACTACTCAGACCCAAAATTATTTTTTGAATAGGGAGATAATATTGCTATATCCAAATAACCAAACACGATAACATCATTATTCAATTACTGAATCAAGCACGTCGAACAGAAGCTCAAATAGGCATAAATAGACAAGATATTCACTGGAAAGGTTACTGTTTGAGCAATATTGTTTAACACAATGACAAACTATGCCAAATGCATGCCACACCCAAGGTAATGCCATTTTTTAAATCATACGGAGGAAAAAGGGTTGTTTTAACAATTGGAAAATAGTATTAACATAGGCAAATCAGTATATCACAACATTAGAATTTCACACAAGTCATTTATGAAATAGGAAGCTAGGGGGGTTCGACATTAAGGACGAGATCAAAGGAATAGAAAGCCGTTTTAGAAGCTTAAAATTGCAAACATTTCTCAAACTATTACATATTCATAACCGATGAAGACAAACCAAGATTAACAGAGGAATACAAATATAAGATGTGAATCTATAAAACTTTGACCCGACCACATAATGGAATCACATAGGACAGATATATCGCATTGAAGCATTCAACAAACCGGCAATAACTAATAATAAATGGCCATATAACAAAGCTTTTCCGACATCGAAAAATATCGAATCGAGATGGGAGCAGAGGCGAGGAGAACGCTGAAAAGGAAGGAGTGTTACCTTCTTAAGGGCAGCGACTGAGGCGAAAATGAGCAGGGGCGACTTCACCACTATGCAATCTTGAACACGAACAGCGAATAAGAGGCCTGGGCAGAATCCGGGCAGCTAACTCGAGTTCAAAGGAAACTTGTGAGAGAGCAATGGGTATTACTGAAAAGAAAGCGAGATAAGGATCCTAAACGGGATAGCTTCTCTATTTCGGAGGGTATTTCCAATGTATTCAAGCTATTTCTTCTTAAGCTATTCTTATATTTTGCTAAAAAGAACTCTTCCAACTCCCCAAAAAAAATCAATCCCCCTCCAATGAGGAAGAAAATGAGCATATATAGGGGGAATTTAGGGTTGTTTTGAGGGGAAAAGATGAGGGCAATTTCGGGTAAGAACAAGACCCAATTCGAAATTCAAACCTAAAAAAATCTTGCACTAATTAAGGAAGACATACTTTTTCTGCAAATTCAGCCCATTCCCGAAGAGGAAAGGGCGAGATGGACGCTCGAGATCAATTTATTCGTCCTCAGGTGCGACGTGGTCTCATCTCGCAGCTGCAAGGACGGTTCTTGGCTAGAAATGGCGCTGGAACAGTACTGCTGGAACAACACTGCGTTGTTGCTGCTACTCACGCGAGGAAGATGAAGCGTGGGGCGTTGGGGTCGTTGTTTGCTATGTATTTGCTGGAAAAAAAAGAGATGGGCTGACACGTATGTAATTGTATTGTTGTATGTTATTGTCTTAGTTGGTTTATGCATGGATAATGGGCTGGGTTGGGGAATTATGGTGGGCTGCTGGTAGGAAAATCTAAGTGAATGGCCCAACTTAGTCCCTTTTTATATAGCCAAATGAATTATGATTTGACCAAATTGAATTTCCCTAGTAAATTTGGTTAAGACTTAAATACGACGAATTAATATAATTAATTAATGAGCTTCTCAATCTTGAACAAAATAAAATAATTAACTCGAATATAAACTAACCGATTTCAATAACTCAAAATTATAACTATGAATTATACTAGACTAAATTAATAAAATATTTACTAAAACAATGCAAAAATCTTTTGATATGGTTTTCAAATATTTATAAAATATATTAATTATATATATAATTATATGAAATACATTCATTATTCAAAATACTATAAAAAGTCGACTGAAATTAACTAAAATAATCTTGAAACTATTTGAATTTTAAAAAGCTAATTATTCTAAGTCGTTTGAAATCTAAAAAGCTCAAAAATTAATTACTATCGGGGAGGGTCAAAATTAGGTGTCAACAGTGTGCCGCTTCTGCCAACAGTTCATCATTCTCTGATACACTTTATTTGGTCTACATGACACATGCTCTTGTCTCTCGTGTCTTGGTGAGCATATACAACTTTTTGTTCTTGCCTTTACACTCGAGCTCTTCATACAAACACTCAAAAATTATCATTTTATCCATCATGACCACTATCTTTGTTTTCTTCCTCCATCTTATATTTCTCCCTAATTTTCATCTTATCCTCCCCCTCAAAGATTTACACTAACACCATATTACAAACCTTATTGGCTTAAGATTTTTCTTGAATCTCTTTATTTCACTACCAATACCCTTTTATGCCCAATGGGATTACCCCTCGAGACTCCTAAAACTTCTCTAGTTGTTTTCCTGATGAAACCAAGTATTCTAGTCCACATTATATTTGCTTCCCTACAACTTCCCCAAGCCGTCATATCCACCAACTTCTCCCAATCTCCTGAGTTTTGGCTCTAATTAGGCCTCTCCCATATAATCTTTGTGTTAGCAAATGCAGAAATAACAAAGCTTATGTTAGTTAGAAGATTCCAAGAGTTAGTTACTAGTTGATGACATGGCAATAGTTAGTTACAAAGTTTGTTAGAGATATTTTGTATTCATTCATAGTAAGAGTAGTATATATAAGCATGTATGTACAGATTCACTGAATCAAGACATTAATACAATCTTCTTCCTTCTTCTTCTCTCAAATGCTCTGTGAATTCTCCAAGGATTAATCTCCATTCATGGAGTTAACATGGTATCAAAGCCCACGATCCTAAAGGATTAAACAACAAGTAGCTAAGCAAAAGGTGCTCAGATTCACCACTGCTCAAAGGTGAATTGAAAGAAAGCATCAACAGTAAAGCTCAACAACAATGGCGAATGGAAGTGCATCTGAGGAGACAAGCACTGGAAATGAAAATGGAAATGGAAATGGAACTTCAACTCAAGTTGCATTTCCAGTAATTGATCACAATCATCCGTTATTTCTTCAACACACTGATACTCCAGGTAGTTCTCTGATCTCTCTGCAGTTAACTGGTTCAGAAAACTATGCTTTGTGGAGTAGGTCTTTTAGGATTGGATTGGTAGGGAAAAGCAAGCTAGGCTTTGTAGATGGGCGATTTCCTAAGTCCATGTTTGAACCAATTCTGTTTGATCAGTGGGAAAAGTGCAATG